GTCTCTCTCTCTCACTGTGTAACTCTGCCTGTCAAAAAATAAAAAAAGACTGCTAGGTTTCATCCTTGAGGGGATCACTGTCGAGGGTAAATCTTGGGGTGGGCAGTAAACAGGAAGAGATTGGATTTTGAATTTGTTGAGGGTAGAACTTGTCATTTGCCCAAATTTGAGATCTCTGACTCCTGACAAGTGCATGAACACACAGCTCCCTGACTGCTGGAAACCCACACAGGGGCTGGCTCCCCAGTTCTGAGATGGGTGGGGGAAAGGTACCGTCCAGCCCCCCGGTTCCCAGGCCCCAAATGAAGCTAAGCACTGTGGACAGGAAAGTGCACCCCAAAAAGAACCAAGAGGCTCTGGTGGCTCCCAGACAGGAAGCTGCCATGCAGCTGGGGTTCGGGCATCGTCATCTGCAGGCCCCGGCACGTGTGCTGTCCTCAGCTGAAAAGGGCATTCAAGATTCAGGTTCAGCTTTCAGTGGCTCTGACGGGGAGAGGAAGCCACCGGGGCCGCCTGACCTGATGATGGGAGAGGGAGCCTCCTGGTTGCCTATCAGCAAAGAACAACGTGATGGGTCCCTAAGAGCCTTTAGGGGTTCTGACAGATCCGAGAGGATTCTTCTTGGTCTGGCTAGTAAGCCACATGTCACTGTGGCCTCCGAGGATGGTGTGTGCTAACTGACAGAGGGTGTGCCAACACGAGCGCGTCCTCTCTGAAGCCCAGTCTTGCACCACGTAATGACATTTTGGTCAACCACAAACCATGTGCCCCTTCAGGATGTTTCTAATGGAGCTGGGAACCTCCTGTCCCCTAGTGACATCAGAGCTGCCATAGCTCAATGGATTCCTCACGTGTTTGTGGTGATGCTGAGTAAATGAAACCAGTCAGAGAAACGTACAGCACAGAGACACACGGCACAGTGAGGATGATAATAAGCAGCTAGGCTACTGGTGTATGTAGGTGCCATTCTTCACTTTCCATAGCTATTTTAGGGTGTGTACAGTGGTCTGCTGTGTCAGATTGGCAACAGCCTCCTACGCTTCACGGTTCCCGTATCTCCTGACTGCATCAAGAGCCCGCCCACAGTGACTGGCCTACCCCTCTGTGATGCCTGCATGATGGCGAGATGGCCTAAGGGTGCACTTCGCAGAGCATGTCCCCGTAATTAGGGGACGTGTGGCTATGTTCCAGAAGCAGTGGCTATGCACACTTCTGAAGGCCTGTGCAGTGGGACTGGAAGAAGCAAGGTGGTGGGAGCTGTGGGTTTTATGGAACCGTGCTGGCGCCAACATGCCATACTGGGAATAAGGCCAAAGTCAAGGTGAGGACTTAGATTTTGGATTCTCTGCCATGGTCCAGGGTTTCTCACTAACAGCACTACTAGGCTTCTAGGAAGAACAAGGATTTAGGTCAGGACTTAATCCATTCACTGAGAGACATTTAGCAGCTGCACCTCTGCCCTGTGAGTGCTCGTGCACCCCCCAGCTGAGGCAGTGTGACAAACCCAGGCCCTCTCCCCTGAGCAGCAGTGCTGTGCTGGAACTGGCTGAATCCCAGCTCCTCCCTGGCTTCAAACAGACTCGCGAGCCGAGTCCCTGGGTGCTTGGGAAGAACCACCTCTCAGCTCCTGCCTTGGATGTGATGCAAGCCACGGGACTTCTTCCAGTAACGCTTCCAGCAAAGAGCAGCCGTGGGCTCCTCCAGCCTTTCCCCCATTGCTGACGGCTGGGGCGACAGCTACAAAGGCCACCTTGGGCCAGGATAGATGCCTCAGGTTGAGGGTCACTGAGCCACCCCTGGCCTCTGAGCCACCTGCCTCTAGATCGCTCTGCGAGAAAAGTGTTCTTGCCTAAACCGTTGTTGTTTTCGGGTCTCTGTTGGAGCAGCTCAGGCTCTGTCCTGGGTAATGCAGCTCCCTTTCCTGATGCTGCAAGAGAAAGAGTCTAGGAGAGGAGGGAAAGCCTGCCAGGAGGGCAGAGCCCTGACCCTGAAGGGCAGCACACACAGGGCTCCTTACACACACACACACACACACACACGCACCCCACACATGCATGAGGGACCCTCCTCAGGGGCAGGAGGCTCACAGATGCCTTCTGAACAGTTTGCAAAGGCAGCTAGCTCTGCAGGAGGAAAGAATTTCCACACCACTTTGTCTAAGGAGGACCATCAATTATGATCAGCTCACCGAGAAAGACAGCATGGGGTTAAGTCCATTTCACAGTGAGCCACCGGGAGGCGGGTCTGTCGGTGCTGGAGGCCAGTGACAATTCCAGGAGGCATCCAGTCCCCAAATAGCTCAGCAATCACATTAAGGACACTGGCCTAGAAGTTGCTCTGCTCTTCTTGATAAGAACAAGCCCTGCCCATCCCCCCTGCCCCCACCCTGACTCCTGGTAGAGCCATCCTCACCCACTGAGACAAACGCTTTATTCTAAACCCCAGCCAGCTGCTGGTGAGAAGTCACTGCACTTCCTCCAAGGGGACACTTTCAACACTGAGAAAGAAACAAACTCATGAAAATGTTCCCAGTTAGGGGAGACAAAAAAAAAAAAAAAAAAAAAAAAAGGAAAGGCACAAGGTAACAGAAAGGGCTCCATGTGGGTCGGTGGTGAGAGAGGGGCAGGGAGGAGAGCCCCGACCCATTGGCAATGGGGAGGGGTCCCAAGAGCAAAGGGGCAGGCGCTGGGACCCTGCATCTTCTCCACCTAGAGTGATTGGAAACCGGCAGACTGAGAAAAACTGGCAGGGAGGGAGGAAGACGTGGCTTAGGAAGTTAAGCCTGTGGGGCCAGGGTAGGCAAGGGAATCCTCCCAGGTTAAGTGAGCTTCCCCCCCCCCCCCCGCCCCGCCCCAGGTCTTGGAGGGTCCTGTCCTAGAGGGAGGAGGAACAGGTCTACTTGCCCATCTCTCCCTAAGCACAACTGGCTCCATCTTGGTAACCTGATTTTAAGTCTAGAAGAGGCTGAGAGTTGTGAAGCGAGCAAAGTCGATTATACAGCAACCCATGTGGGGCTCTTAACGCAGCCTGGGGTCAGAGCAGAGGCGGCTGGGAGTTCCCAGCAGGTGGGCACCTGGCAGTGCCTGGCATGAAGCTTGGAACGTTTGAAAGCTCCGTAGAGCGTGCATGCAGTCACCTTACACAGCCGCCAAGAATCTGCCCTTTGATCTTTGGAGAGATACCACCAGCAGTCTGACAGAATCCTGGCAGAAGCAATTAGCTCATGAATTAGTTATCAAGTATCTCATGCAGCCAAGGTCTTGGGGTACTGAGTTGCATACTTCTTCCAGGAGCTTCAGGACAAAAGGGCAAGCCACCTGCTTGCATTTGCATGGAGGACTTGAGCCAACCTGTCCATTCTTCTCCACAGCATCCTGCCATAGGAGTCTGACACCCTCTCCTCCACCCCTGCCCTGGGCCCAGACATACTCTGCCTCTGCCCCTGTGTGCCTGACCCCCTCTCCACCTTTCAAAGCTCTTCTCCCACCATCCTTTCCTCATTCATTTTCCTGTGTGTCTTGACCCTGATTTGCCTGGCTGATCACACGTCAGGATGCTTACACCCGGGGGGCCCTCTGCCTGGAATGCTTTTGCCTTCTATGAGCTTGGGTGGCTACTGCACTGTCTAGATCTCTGCTCGGATGTCATTTTGTGGTTAAGCAGGCCTTCCTTGCTTACTCGCTCCCTGCACACCTCCCTAACCCGCATCAGCCTCTGACATGGTAGCTGCCTGACTGTGTGCTCACCACCTGCCTCCCTGAGCAGGGCCTTCCCTGCTTTGGCTGTTTCCCTGGCTGGATGAAGGAAGAATCTGTAATGTAAATGTCACAGAAAGCCAAGGAAGCTCTCCATCTCCAGCAAGCTGTCACTTCCTCTATGCCCTAAGAAATGAAGACAGCTCCACCTTTAGATGCCTGACTCAGGAAACATCTCCTGTCCCTCACATCCATTCAGCTGCCAAATACCAGGTTCTACCTTGAAATTCCTCCCTTTCTTCCCCCTTCATTCAACCAAGATTGGTTTAATGAGTATGTCCTAGGTACCAGGTGTTGTCTCTCACGTTATTCTCATCTTACTCTTACACCAAGATCCCTGTAGCCAATGCCTCTGCACCTTCTATCTGGCCAACAAGAAAAACCTCTACCACTGCCATTGCCTCCTTTCCTTTCCTTGGGTTCCTCCTGTTGAACGCTACCTGATACGCTGCACTTCCCTTCTGTGCTTACGTCTCCCGGTGACTCCCTACTGCCTACTCACTTACAGATTACGGATCCCAATCTTGAAGGCCATTCTCATATTCTCAATGGACCTCTGGGCCCTATCACCTACTATTTTCATAGTATAACATTCAGCTACACTGGGCCACTCTTCATTTTCTAAATTTGTCTACACATGGTTCCTATCCCTGGGAAGAAGAGAGTTTCTGTTTGCCCCAATCTCCCTTCCAAAGGCCTTCTTATATGCCACTTCTGGGCCCTTTTCTGCCTAATACTTTCCTGCTACTCCAACACCAGGTTTAATCATTTCTGTAAACACCTGCTGTATTCTCTCCTGAGTTACAGCCTTATGCAGAGATTCCTTATCTCACCTGAAAGAGAACTCTAGAGGGCGAGGTTTCTATTTCATTCACCTTTGTTTTTTGAGCAGGAGCTAAACTAGAGTCTTATGCCATACATATGCTCACCCATAATTTGTTGAGTTGAATTATTAAGTATGGTGAATTGCACTGTGCCATGTGTTTAAGGGAGTGTAGAAAAACAGCAGGATGCCATGTTGACTTGTTAGGGAGACACAGTTGCTTGTATAAAATTGCTTATACAAAATTCATTTTCTACAAATAATTATTGGACACCTATTTTGTGCAAAGTATATTATCAGGAGGTAATATAAATGTATCAGTTAGTGAGGAAGGGAATAAATACTGGCTAAGGCAGACTCTAGATGCACATGTACATGTGATGAGTCCCGACATTCTTGATGAAACAGGAAATGAGACTTACCTGGTGACATGGCATGTTCCAGGCGGCCCAGCTGGGGCTGCTTAATTATTCTGTAGACCAGTTGTGCAGGCTCGCTGTCCAGGTCGGTGGCAGAGAGCTGCAGAGTAGTGATTTTCTTCACTGAGTTTTCATCCAAGACCAGCCCTTTGTTGGTGATGATGACAGGTGGGGATTTGTCATCTGAAAACATCAGAAACAGTGACTGGAAATGGGATCTTTCCCACCTCCTTCCTTTAGTTCTGGGCTTGGTGCTTGGGATAATATCCGAGTAATCCTCAGGCCTGCCCTTCGGAGACTGCGTCAGGGAGCCAGCCCTGTGCATGACAGAGGGAATATGATTTCCCCATTTCCACATCAGCGAGCTGAAGGAAAGGGCTCAAGCCTCAAGGTGAGCTTGAGTGTAAGCTACATAACCTCAGAATCGCCAGAGTATTTTTATATTAGCAAACCTAATGTCCCTTACCTACAACACTGATGGAAAATAACTGGTCCATCAATCTGTTGCCTTCACCATCGACCACGTCAAATGTAAAAGCAAAGTTCCCACCAGGCTCTCCTGCTCCGTGACTGTATTCTACTAGTCCTAAAAGCAAGAAAGAAAATCAAGATTTGCCACCAGTGCTCTCTGTCCTTATGTAGGCGAGATGTGGGACTTCAGTTGGCATTCACACCCATGAGTCAATTCACACCTTCCTCTCTTTGACACTGCTTTTGACATTTTTATATAAAGCTCTCATTTTCTCCCTTTCGTCTCCCTATTGAATTCCATAGAACCAAAGACCCCCTCATAACAAAATCACCCCATGACATTTCTTACAGTTGAGGCTCAGCCTTTCTGAAAGGTCAACCAGCCTCTAGGAAGGTCTCGTGAAACATATCCCGGAAGTAGGAGGTGCAGTGACCACACCCACATCCTTTGGAAGGGCCCTATCATATCTGCACACAGGAGGACTGGAGACACACAGCCTCAGCCCAGAGCCCTTCACTCCTCATCACCCAGGGCCTGGAACAACATGGCCTACTACCAAGCAGCCAATAAGCGATACCTAAGTCAACGCCACACAGCAATCCTAGAATGGAAAGGCAGACGGACAGTGTGTTACATTTTTGTTAAGTCCCAGCATCCGTGATAGGAACCTCTCGATGTAAATGGAACCAAATGCCTGGGAAGAGGTGTCTGGGCTCATTTTACAAAGGGGGACATCAAGCCCTGGACAAATTAGGCTATGACTTCCCCTTTGCTATTCCACCTCCACCACTGAAGAACAACCAGGGCTGGGGCCAGGGCTGTGGCATAGCAGGTAAAGCTGTCACCTGCAGTGCTGGCATCCCACATGGCTGCCAGTTTGAGACCTGGCTGCTCCACTCCTGATCCAGCTCCCTGCTAATGTGCTGGGAAAGCAGTGGAGGATGGCCCAAGTCCTTGGGTTGCTGCACCCACATGGGTGAACTGGATGAAGCTCCTGGCTCCTGGTTTCAGCCTGGCTCAGTCATGGCTATTGCTGCCATTTGGGGAGTGAACCAGCACACAGAAGATCTCTTTCTCTGCCTCAGCCTCTCCTTCTCAGTAACTCTGCCTTTCAAATAAATAAATCTTTTTAAAAAAAAATAATAAGAAGGAAAATACATCAAGGGCCATTGAGAATTCAGCTGTTGTCAATCTTAGGGCTTCCTGCAGAGGCAGGAGGCTTTGTCTCAGCTTCTTAGGGGGCCACTCAGATTTCCACAGCTCAACAGGGCTGCATGGGATCTCATGGCTCTGGACCACCTTTGCCCCCCAACATGTAACTTTCATTTCCCTCTTCTATCCCTGAAAGCACAGTACAGCACCCATGTAGCACCCAGCGCTGATGCCTGTTACATCAGCATTTCTTGGAGGAGGGATGAGCCATGAAATTCCCCCAGGCAGCTTCGATTTATGCCCTTCCATTTTGCTTAGTTCATTAACTTGTGCTCTTTGGGGAGTGCAAAAGAGATATAAATTGCTCACCTAAGGAAGGCATAATTTTCACCTTAATCCATCCCAATGCGTATCTTTCTTTTTTCTCTCAAACATACTTTTAGCATCATAGCAATTCAAAATGACCTTTTTCCTCCATAATAGGCCCAAATTTCATCAGTGCTATGTCAAATCATGAATACATTTTAGCCAAGAAAGACAGGTTTACTTAAACAAAAAAGAACAGAAAAGAATGGAAAGGAAAGAAAAGAGAAAAGAAAAAAAAGGAAATGAGGTGACAAAAAAGGGAATAAATGAAGCTGTAACTCAGTTCTTATTGAAAGCAGAGAGTGCACAGTTCACCGCCATGGGCTACCAGGCATTTGACTCTGAGTTCAGGACGGTGGGTGGGACCTGTGAAGTTTGGGTCAGCAGACGAGAACTTGCTGACCTTGGCTAATGTCTGCCTGTGTGAAACTTCGGAGGGGCCCTCTCACAGAGATTTGCTGCAGGTTGTCTTGTTTAACCATCTGCAGGTGCCCTGTGCCAGGATCTTCTTTCATGATGTACATAACCTGAAGGTCATCTGAGTCGGCATCTGTCACTTTCAAGTGCTGTTCTGTGATGCGTGCTACAGACCCTGGAAGAGAAGGCAAGAGAGGAGGTCATTCCCCATCGTTTCCACTGGATGAGACGTCAAATGAGTTTGGGAGACTGGAAGCTAACTTATTACACATTCCTTGGGTCTAGGTACCAGGCATTAAGCCTTCTCAGTTCCTGGATGAATGATTTTTTTTTTTAAATGTACTTTAAATGACAGAGAGACAGACAGATCTTCCACCTGCTGGTTCAATGTGGGGAGCAGCTCGGACTAGACTAAGTTACTGGAATTAAGACTTATTCTATGCATCTGCTCTCCTCTGTGGGGAGCAGCTCGGACTAGACTAAGTTACTGGAATTAAGACTTATTCTATGCATCTGCTCTCCTACAATATGGCGCTGGGAGAGGAGAAAACAGCTTCTACCCAGCTGCCTCCAGTTCAACCAATAAACTGTAGGACTTGCTCCTGATTGGAGAGCAGCGTACTCGGCGTGTGGGCAGCCGAGTTAGGATTGGCGGAGGAGGACTATAAAGGAGGAGAGAGACGGCATGCACCGGGAACATCTATGAGGAACATCTAAGAGGAACACCTGTGCAGCCCCCGAGAGAGCCGGCCGGCGGTGTGCCGCTCCCCTGCGGAAGTGGGGAATGTGGCCAGGGGGAACCGCCCTTCCACGGAGGTTGAGGGACGGTAGCCAACCCGGGAAGAACCAGCAGCAAACCCGGGGAGGGCCGAGCAGACGAAAGAACAGCGCAGGGTCCTGTGTCGTTCCTCCACGAAGAGGGGGAGCAACATAATGGTGCCGTGACTCGGATAGGAAACCTAGCTTGGATATGAAGCCTAGGACGGATTAGGAAACTTAGGAGGGAAGAAATGGGAAGAAGCAGGAAAATACCGGAGAGAGAGACTAGCAAAGAGCCTAGGGGAAAGCTGGACGGAAAAGGTGCCGGAAGAAGCTATTGAAAGCCTAGGCAGAGACTCGGATATGGACTGTGAGAAAGAAGTTAGGATTGAAAGCGAAAGTGAAAGCTTTCATAGACTCGGATGCGGACTATGGCGGGGAAGCTAGGAGATTGAAAGCGAAAGTGAAACCTGGAGGAGGCTTGGACTCGGATATGGACTGTGGGAAAGAAGTTAGGATTTAAAGTGAAAGCAAGAAGAAACTTAGATACGGACTGCAGGTTGAAAGTGAAAGTGAAACCTAGAAGAAACTTAGACTCGGATACGGACTGTGGGGAGAGGCCAGGAGAAATGAGGGAGGAATATTGTTGGAAGAAAACTTAAGGAAACACACCGGGTAGAGAAAAATGTTAGGGAGGATGAAGCCGCGAGTGCAGGCCAAGCCATCTTGGAATTCTTCAAGTCACCCCGGGGAGCAAGAGGCGAAGATCTGGAACCAGAGGCAGAGACGTGGGCTGCCAGGATTCGCCAGGTTAGTCCGGGGAACTTGGACTGAATGCCGGTGGTGGCGGAAACATTCGCGGAAGCCGCCGCGTGCAGAGAGAGCACGGGGCGTTGGCGCGAGGCCGTGGTGCGGGCGCGAAGTGCGTGGAGACCGCGGAGCGTGCGCGCAGAGCCGGGAACCCGCCGGCGGGGTGAGGCGCCGGGAAGCCGCGCAGAGCCGTGAAGCTCCCGCGGGGCGAGCCGCCGAGAAGCAGCCTCGGGGCGGAGCCCGCCGGCGGGGCGAGGCGCCGGGAAGCCGCGCGGAGCCGTGAAGCTGCCGGCAGGGCGAGGCACCGGGAAGCCGCAGGGATAAGAGAAACAGAAGTTTAGAAGTAAAAGAGAAATAGGAATGCTGGAAGATAGAAGTAAAATGGGAGAAATAGGAATGCCCGGAGATAGAGAAATAGAGAAAAATAAGGCCTCCCCTCAACATGGCAATGAGAAAGCTTGGATTCGGTCTGCCCGATTAGTGAGGCGATGAGCACCTGGGCGGCTAGCAGCTTATGCGCCGCAGGTCACCGAAGACAGGCACGAATTAACATCAGTAAAGCTTCCCCACAATGCAACAATTAGGAGGCTTGGATTCGGTCTGCCTGATTTAAGGCGGTAAGCGCCAGCAAGCAGCTCGACCAGAGTATGAGCTGCAGGTCACCGAAGATAGGCACGAACCAACACTAATAAGTCTCCCCCACAAAAAGGCAATGAGAAGGCTTGGATTCGGTTTGCCTGATAGGTTTTGTAAGCCCCTGCGGGCAGAGCAGAGCATGCGCTGCAGGGCACCGAACACAGGCACGCATCAGCGCCTAAAAACCTCCTCACAACATGGCGAAGAGAGGACCCGGATTCGGTTTTCCTGATTGATAGGACTTGTAAGAGCCTGTGGCAACTCTAGCAAGTAGAGCAGAGTGTGTGCCGCGGGACACCGAAGACAGGCGCGTATCAACACCAAAAAATAAAAAGAAAGGGGGATCTGTGGGGAGCAGCTCGGACTAGACTAAGTTACTGGAATTAAGACTTATTCTATGCATCTGCTCTCCTCTGTGGGGAGCAGCTCGGACTAGACTAAGTTACTGGAATTAAGACTTATTCTATGCATCTGCTCTCCTACAATATGGCGCTGGGAGAGGAGAAAACAGCTTCTACCCAGCTGCCTCCAGTTCAACCAATAAACTGTAGGACTTGCTCCTGATTGGAGAGCAGCGTACTCGGCGTGTGGGCAGCCGAGTTAGGATTGGCGGAGGAGGACTATAAAGGAGGAGAGAGACGGCATGCACCGGGAACATCTATGAGGAACATCTAAGAGGAACACCTGTGCAGCCCCCGAGAGAGCCGGCCGGCGGTGTGCCGCTCCCCTGCGGAAGTGGGGAATGTGGCCAGGGGGAACCGCCCTTCCACGGAGGTTGAGGGACGGTAGCCAACCCGGGAAGAACCAGCAGCAAACCCGGGGAGGGCCGAGCAGACGAAAGAACAGCGCAGGGTCCTGTGTCGTTCCTCCACGAAGAGGGGGAGCAACAGTTCAACTCCCCAAACGCCCATCAATAGCCAGGATGGGCAAGGCTAAAACCAGCAGCCTGAAACCCAATCTGGTTCTCCTATGTAGATGGAAGGGACTCATGTACTCGAGCCATTACCTGCTGCCTCCCAGGGTATACATTAGCAGGAAGCTGGAATTGGGAGCAGAGCCAAGACTTGAACCTATGGACTGTGATATGGAATGTGACTGTCCCAAGAAGTGTCTAGCCATTAGGCCAAATATCTGCCCCTATCACTCATAATTCTTAGTGTCCCTAAAACAACAGTTCTCCAAAACTCTAGTGCTTACAAGTACAGACCAGTCAAGTTAAGATCTACTCACAGAACCACCATGGGAGGAAGGACTGTGCACTGGCCAAAGAGGAAATGAGGGTGGAAGAACCATGGACACCCTCCTCTGTCCCTGTGGTACCTGCTGAGAGCTGTAGGCCTCGGTTGATAACCAAGTGGGGGGAAGCACTGGTAGGCAGCTCCACGTGGATCTCCATCCTCCCCATGTCCACATGCAGGCCATCAGTGAGGGAGAACTGGAACTCATCCACCGCCATTCCAGGGTTGCTAAGCAGGTATCCAATCAGCCCAGCCAGGACATCCTGGTAGGTAAAGGAAGAGCCCTGGACCAAAACCATCCCACTCTCTAGGGGCTCAGAAGCACTAAGTCTCCGCAGAAGATGACCTGAGGAAGTAAGTAAAGAAAAATAATGAGACAACAGTAATATACTCGCGTACGACACTGAAGCACTGTCAACTGATTTTGTCAACTAAGGTGAGCCTGGGTAGAACGTCAAGTACCTTGGAGGCTCTTGGTGATGAGAAGTTGATATTTTATGTATAAGCATAGGGTGCTGCCCTGTTACCTCATCTTCAAATAAAGAAGACAAAGCCCACTTTTCCTGCTTAGAAATATCTTAAGGAGACGCAGATGGATGTGGTAATATAATAGATGAGATATCACCTCTCCCTCCATGAATTCAAACACGTTATTATCTAAACCTTATCTTTCCCAGCTACAAAGGGAAAACAGCATGATTCAGTCATTGCCTTTCTCTTAGGGCATCTCGAGTGGTGCTGTGAATATATTTTAGGTTCAGAAAGACACCAAGCATCTTCAGACTGAGGTTTATTTGTGTTTTCAAAGGTCATGTGCTTCAATGGGATGGTTAAAGTGCTTCAATAATGAAAGTGAAAGTGAACTGAAGGCAATCAAAAATGCAATGACCAACAGCTTTTCTTCTATTCACCCTCAGTCAGCTGCAAGGGTTTCATCTTTAAAGGACCAGTGAGCATTATGACAGATTGAGATGCATCGTCTGGGCTCTTGAGCATTGGCTGATACCAGGAGAATGGCACTTAGAAAAGCAGGTAGAAGATCCACACAGTGGTTTTTGTTTCTGGTTTAAGACAGGAAAGTGCTTTCTTTCCAAATACACAATTGACACACCTCCTGAAATGTCTAGCATGCCCCTATGAGGCTGCATGGATGGCCCAGTATTACCAGGTAATGATGCCCACTCTGAGAAGAGGATGAGCTGGCTTGGAAATTTGCTTTGCTTCAGATTACATAGCTGGATAACAGCTGAAATAAAATTTGAGACACCAATCATTGAGGATTTGGGCTTTTTAAGCAACTGGTATCTACCATGACCCCAGAGAATATTAGCCAACTGTGAATTTGATTACACTTTGATGCAAATAATGGACCACATACAGGAAAAGCAAAGGAATAACCAACTGAAATCAATGTGTTTATTCTAACAACCCTTTGGGTACCTCAATTAAGAAGCTTTCCATAGCAGTGTGTGCCCTACCGTGGTCAGGCAGCTTTGTCAATACAAAGATCAGCTCATTATCTGGAGTGTCCAGGTCTTGTAGGCTCAAAGAAGAATTGCTTATCACCACTCCTGAGCTCAGGTGCACGCTGAGTGGCCGCAAGGTCATTCTCGGTGGCTCATCGTTCCTTCTCTGATTAAAACATGAAATATCAGGTCCCATGCAGATATTGGTTTAAGAAGAAAGAAAATGCACATTATTCAAGAGAAGTATCATTGTTGCAGAAACTTTCACCATCAAAATAGTGTTTAATGTGTCACTACCTTTACTTCCTAACCGAAATGTTTCATTTGAGAACAGAGTGAATCATACCGAGTGTCCCCTTGAAGATAAGCAGTTGGGGCTTTCATGAAAATATTGTAAAAAGCTCTGCATAGGTACATGACCTGTAACTTCTACACCCAAAATATGAACGTGTGATTTGACAAACACAGGTATATCTGGGAGATAAGGCAGCACACTGCGTGAACCCAGAACTCTCTTGGAAAACCCAAAGCATATCACAGTAGCTCAAAGAGGACACCATATTTGAAAGCCTGGGTTTCTAAAGCTGTTCCTGTCTCTGTGCCAGTCCCCCTTCCCCACTGTCCCTTAAGAGTGCTGCGGTTTCCATACATTTTATTTTCCCAGGGCAGAGGGTAATTCCATTCCCAGATTGATCTTTTGCTATACTGTCTCCCTAAGGGTAGTGGAGCAAAGCCTATGTATTTGCTCAAATGAGAACAGATACAGCATGAAGGAATCGATTTCTTTGATGTTACAATTAACTTAATAAATGCATTAAAAATATAAGAAAAGGCAAGTATGCATGCAGAACAAGCACAGTAATTGCAGAGAAAAATAAGCACGTTAGTTTCGATCTCAAGACGTGACTGGCCAAGCTTCTCTGACTTTCACAAACTATTTTCACATAGAAAGGATACATTTTACTCTGAAATGGAAATTCAGATTTCCAACTAAGACCTTCCCAAATGCCAATCTTAACTCTGTAGGTTTCCTGAAGGTCAAGGTTATATTTTAACACTGATCTTTAAAATTGAAGGTCAGATCCAATCTTCTTTGGAGTCTGCATAAGGAAAGCTCTCTAAGAGCAGAATATCGTGGTCAAAAGCTCAACTTTTCCAACTGCCAAAGTCTTTACCTCAATGGTGATGTTGATGCTGTGAGTTTCTGAACGACTGGTTCCATCACTCACATAAAAACTAAAAATATCATGGGTTGGCTCAATGCTTTCGTGAACACTCTGGAAATAGTAAATGGAATTTTCCAAGACATCTTGGATAGGGAACGATGCCTCTAGGTCACTGGTAGTTCCTGGGCCAAAACGATCACCTGCATGAAAATCAAGAGAGAAGCTTTACCTCGATCCATCAGTTCTTGCTTGTTCAGATGAACTAGAAAATACAACATCATTCTCAACGAGATGAACCTACTGTGTCTGAGAATACACCTAGGAGAATGGGAAAAGTGCCAAACCAGAACTGGAAGACTGGGAGTCAGGTCCCAGTTTCCACACTGCCTGTTTTTCATCTTTAAATGGATCTATCTATCCTGCCATCACCCAGAGAACAGCTAATATAGAATTAGGAAAGCATTCGGAATCTTACTTTATGCAGCACAGAATCCGTGCATTTTTGGAAAGGAATCTTTTGATATCATGTGTCTTGGGGCAAGTAAGAACACAATAGGTAAGAATTCTACTTAAGCTCCAGCCAATTTCAAAGATATCTACGGGGACCGTCCTGCAAGAGTAACATTCTTCCTTCACACAGGACAAGGTGACCTGTGCACCTTTTTATCTAGGACACCTCTCCTCCAGCATGTTTTCATTTTACCTCCCAGTTCCTTAAGCAAAGGTCTACATGGGTCAGAGCCCAGCCTGTGGGGTAGCACACCAGGACTCGTGTGGTGCTCAGGACACATGCAGGCCCAGAGATGCTTGGGTACCATTCAGAGCCAACAGGAAGATACAGCAGTGTTGAATTGATGGATGTTTTGTCTTTTACTTGATTCCAATCTGAGTCTCTCTAATTGATGTTAAATTGTTTCTACAATTTTCTTCTAGGGAGAGGAGATAAAGGAAATCTTTGCGTCCTCCAACATTCTCGGAGTATAAACAACAAAGGAAAGTGTAGCCATCCGATCTGAAAGCTTTCCTCTCCCTTCTCCATGATCCTTTACAAAGAATAGATCATAAATTAAAAGACCATTAACTACTGAATTGTAGACAGGGTCACATTTGTTGACATCCCAACAAAAATATTCGGAAGGAAAGTATTTTATTAACAATTTATTAGAAAGAAGAGTTTAAGATGTGTTTTTTTTTTTTTTTTCAATAGCATGACTTTTCTGTATCCCTCAGATTGGATTCCTTTGGATAGTGGAAGTGTAGAGAGATCTAAGTGGCCAGTGATCCTGTAATCCCTGGGACATAGAGTTCAGTTTCTGGAAGGAAATGCTAAACTTCTTTCAATTTTTACTTTCTCCTTCCACTGACCACTATCAACAGGGGAAATGGAGCTTCTTAGAGCCAAAAAGAGCCTCAGTAAATGAGGCCTAAAAATACACACAAATATAGCACCACTTCATTTTAAATCATTGGAAAACAAACTATTCAACAAGTGAATCTGTCCCTGCAGCTGTAAGCACCACACTCTTCCACACCTTTTGTTTGTTTTTCTTTTTTTAGTGTATATCATTCTTATCAATGTGCTTTCCTGCCTTCTTAAAAAAGAAATGGCCTACGTATGACTTAATGTCAGCAGGATCACCCACTACCCACTGAGCTGCTCTCAGAGGTGATGGAGGCGGATCCTGTCCTGCTTGTGCCTCAGTGAACGCAGTGTCCATGTCATTAGGTTGCCTCCTTGCAAATCCAGTCATTCTGTGTCTTCTCTTTTGTTGGTTAAAAGCAAAAGTGCTCTTCTACCAGATTTTTAGAAGATGTTCTGAATAGCTGGACTCTGATGGTAAGTAGCTGGTTTCATGTACAGACAATGGACTCAGCTCTAAAAAGAGGCAAAACGGTGTCTCCCATGGAGCAAAGGGTGGGGTCCCTCGCTGACGTACAGTTGCTTTGCCTCTGATGCCTAATGCCTTTTCCTTGCTTCTAGGTTTACACCAACGTTATTGAGTGTGGTCCTCGGGCCAGCAGCAGTGGCATGGGCAAGCTGGTGAGGAATGCAAATTCACAGACCACATCTATCTCCTAAAACAGGATCCCTGAGATTGCTGCCCAGGTCCCGGTGCTTTCATAAGCCCTCTGGGTGATTCTTGTACACGTGAAAGTTTGAGAACCACTTTTCAGAGAGCCCGAGGCTCACTAGAAAGCTGCCTTCTGGGGCTGTGGGACACCTCTCTGTCTGGTGCATCTGTGCCCTGCACACACTTCACATGAGCGTGAAACTGTGTTATGAAGGCTTAATAAAAATGAAGCCACACAGGGAGAAGAGAAGGTTGGGGGCAAACACCCTTTTGTGATTTCCCACTTTGCCCATGCTCTTCCTCTGCCCATGGCCAACTCCAAGGACTTCCTCAGATTTTTCTGCTTTTCTAGTCAAAAGTAATTGCTTTCTTCTATGTACTCTGTCAGCACTTTGCTCCTTTATCTGGCTTGGCATTTGTCATTTACTGTAATTTCTCTGTCTTCATTCACATCTCCACTCGAGTGAGGCAGGTTCTGTGTCTTATTCATCTTTATATCCACCAGGTATTGCACGTGTGTTTGTTGAAACAAACCTAATACCCGACCATCAAACCTCAGTGCACACTGAAAGATAAGATAGGGAACACTCAAGGCTTTCTACAGGAGAACAGGACCACGGCTAAATGAGTTTGCAGTAATCAGGTGCAATTCCTAGGCAGTATGCCGGCCAGACACCTGCAGCCCACGACACCTCCATGGGAGCTGCTAGCTGCACGCCGATCAGAGCCATGCGCTGGCGCTGAGGGCTCTCACTGCAGAGGGGCAGCACAGGGGTCTGCCGTGAGCTGTCTCAACTGCCAGTCACAGCAGTCTCAGGGGACTGGGGACCATCTATGCCTTCTCGCCTCTCCATCCTGTGATACCCACTAGGGGGTCCACCAGGAGGAGGGGGGTTGCTGAAGAGGGTGTCACAGACAGACAAGCAGGCTTTTCAACTCACGTCATTTCCATGGAAGGAGCTCAGGCACAAGCTGTGGTTCAGGTAAACTGCAGCTTCCTCAGCCGGGGCAGGAATTGTATTTCCCCGACACTCAGTTCTGAGTGTGAGCCACAAGCCCCTCCACCCCCTTGCTGGCTCCTCCTTACCAGGCTCTATTTTTTTCCAGGCTCTATTTTTTTCCATAGCAGCTATTTACCTTCTAATATCTGAGAAAGTTTCCCAAGTATTGAATCTTTTATTTATGTGTCCTCTACTCCCAAAGCCAGGATCTAAGCAACCATAAGCTAAATACTGTTGTCTGTTTTGTTTACTGATATATCCCTAGTGCTTTAAAAAGTGCACAGAACACAGAAAACACTGGATACATTTTTGTTGAATGAGTGAAACCCTCCCTCCCTCCCTCCTTCCCTTCCTTCTTTCCTCCCTCCCTCCCTCCCCCACCCCCTTCCATTTCTTTGAAATGGTTCCTTTCCTCCATGGTTTCCCATCTCCAGGTCTATTTAGACCTAAAGACCTTCCCTCACCCTCCTGTCTTCCCAGCTCCTGAATAATGGAACAGCCAAGCCCCGGCTGGTACCTGTGCCTGTGTTCTCAATGCAGCCGTATTTGGGCAAGGCACTTAGTTTAATGACAGCATCTCCTTGGAGGTTGTCCTGATCATCAGTGGCAAAGAAATGGTGAAATGAGAGGGGGGCTCTCCCTCCCTCCTCAACCTAGGAGAGAAAAGAACACAGGGAGTCCTTGGGCGGTTGCTCAGAACTGCAGTAGAACAGACCTGGGTTGCAAAGTGCCACCTGCATGACCTTTGGGCATGAGTTCCACTTCTGTAGGAGGCAGATCCTCCACGGACGAGATGAGGAATGTGCAATCTTTCAGTGCCTCTGCAAGCTACACTCAGGCACGATGACTTCCGTGTCTCCCTTCAAAGCTGCGCTTCATTCAATGATGGATCTGCTTATAAAGCAGCTCCGGCCCATTCCAATCAGCCACCTCGCTGCAGGTGCGCGACAGGATGCTGCCTTGCCTCCCCATCAACATTCAAAAGCCCACAGCTCGAGAATGATTGATCCAGTCCTCCTGTGCACACTGGCAAGGTGACTGTCCAACACAGCATTCCCACCCAGAGAATCAAAGTCCCACCCACTCCTTTATAGTGCACATTTATACGGACATGGGAAGAAAGGATTCACCACACCTGAATGCTAGTGCTTATCCTAACATCAAAGAGGGCAATAAATCCATCTAAGTAAAAGCAGTCACTCAAACTACCTTTTTCCCTGAGGGCTCTGTTTCATACACTAACTCTGCAAGCAGTGCCTGGTATTTCTCACTGGCCTGCTGGAAGCGGTCAAGTCATTTCACTTGGGACAACGCTTGGCTAACTGTAGTAAGGTCTGGAAGTGACTAAGCAGACCGTTGCCCTGAGTCTGGGAAGGGGGACAGCGCAAGTGGCTTTTGCAAGATGTGGAAATGGAAAAATCAGGGGCCTAGCAGAACCATGTAGAAACAGCTCAGAGTTTCATGTATATTCAGCTGCCTGCCAAAGCCTGAAAAACGCTTGGACTTTTAGCACTGTGGTGTGTATGAAGAGCAGGAAGAAGAAAAAAATCAACGAACTTTTATGGAATCCATTCCATGAACCAGGCACTGTGCTAGGGGTTTCGTGCTATTTTTTAACTCAGAGAAATCCTTTATGTAGTAGGAATATTAGTATTTTAAAGAAGAGACTATAGCTAAGAAAGATTAAATCCTTGGGTCCAAAGTCAGCCAGTTATTAGGTAACAACATTGGCACCTGAACTCATGTCTAGGTAGCATCAATGATCAAGATATACTATATTATCCACCCCTCTCCTCAATATCCTGTCAATATTGTTTATAGTGATAAGTATTGGTTTGAATTAAAGAGTGTTTGGGGGGCACTGTCCATGTCTTAGTTACTGTCAATCAGTATTAGCTTATAAATTCTTCAAAGACACATTATAATTCTACTTCTACACTCTGGATTCGACATCTGGCTCCTTTCCTCACTCCTGCTTCAGGCCAGTGTAGACCCTGGGAGGTATCTGGTGATAACCCAAGTGACAAGGTTCCTAGGACCCACTTGTTAGACCTGATTGAGTTCATGGCTCCCGACTTCAGTTCCAGCTGGGACCCACTGTAGGCATTTGGGGAGTGAACCAGCAAATGGGAGTTCTCCATTTCTCTCTCTCTCAGATTATTTTTTTTTTTTTTTTTGAAGGGGAGAGTGACTGGGGGGTGGGATGGAGATATCTTCTATTCACTGGTTCACTCTCCCCATGGTCACAATGGCTAGGGCTGGGTCTAGACGGAAGGCAGAAGCCAGGAACTCCATCTGGGTCTTGTTGCATGGGTGGCAGGGATAGAAGCCCTTGGGCCATCCTCTGCTGATTTCCCAGGCACATTAGCAGGGAGCTGGATTGAAAGTGGAGCGGCTGGGACTTGAACTGGTACTCCATTAGGAGATTGCAGCATTGCAGGTGGTTCCTTAGCTCACTAGGCCACAAGGGCAGGCTCCTGCCTCTCAAATTATATAAGAAATATATACTAACAGAGTCTAGCATAGTGTGTACCACATAAGTCTTTGTTGACTGACTAATGTGGCTATAATGACTTCATCTCTGCATATACTTATTTTTATACTTTTTGAAAAATCCATGTTTGGAAGCCACACGTATCTTTTTTTGTTGTTGTTGTTGACAGGCACAGTGGACAGTGAGAGAGAGAGACAGAGAGAAAGGTCTTCCTTTTCTGTTGGTTCACCCCACAATGGCCGCTGCGGCCAGCGCACCACGCTGACCCGAAGCCAGGAGCCAGGTGCTTCTCCTGGTCTCCCATGGGGTGCAGGGCCCAAGCACTTGGGCCATCCTCCACTGCCTTCCCAGGCCACAGCAGAGAGCTGGACTGGAAGAGGAGCAACTGGGACAGGATCCAGTGCCCCGACTGGGACTAGAACACGGGGTGCCGGCGCCGCAGGCAGAGGATTAGCCTATTGAGCCGTGGCGCTGGCCAACCACACGTATCTTGATACCATTGCCTAGATAGCATGGAGGAAGAACTTGGCAGCCAAGTTAGGCAAAAGCCTTTATTTCCATCACCAGATTCCAGCTCTCTATAATGTCCCCTGTCTGTTGACCTGAGAACTGTTTACCGTGATGAGGTCAGCAAAAGCAATGACTGGGGGTGGATTCTCAGCAGGGGTGATCAGGATGGTGAACATCTGATTGTCCAGATGGTTGTGGTCTGCATCAGACACGGAAAACTGGAAGCTGTCAGTAACCAGACGGCCATCTGTCTCAAACACAGCCGAGTACCTGTGAAGGCCAGAAAAAGAACCACAGGAATGAGCCGCACCAACAAGCCAGGGAGAATGGGTGCCTGCATCTGTAAATATGAAATACATGCAATGTGTTCACCTCATATAAATGTAAACAATTGTTCATGAAAAAAGTGAAAAGGAGGAATGGGGCCAGAAACAATATATTCTCTTAAGCAGGTGCAACCAGTTGCTTAAATATCTTAACACAGTTTTTTTAAAAAAGTCCTGTCAAATAACACAAAGTGGCAGTGTACCTGATGTTCTTATTGTTGATGTCTTCCATTGTGAAATTGGAAGTCTCTGAGAGTTCTTCCACCTCAGGTCCTGAGGTTTTTAAGAGAGAGCCATACGTGGGCAGAGAACGTAACTGAATCCAGATCTCAGAATCAGGTGAAGAATCATCCTAGTGAGGCAAATACGAGTTAAGACATAAATGCACATTTTAGGAATAAATACTTCCAGTACCAAAACGTCCACAGGAACTTCCTTCTCTGTTAAGTAGAAAAGTCCCTTTCCCTTTTGTCATAAAGCAACACCACTGCAGATTGCATGAAAATGCCAGTGTTTATTCCTCCCAAACACCCCTCTCATAAGGTCTGCTTCCAAGAACAGCTCAAGACAGCAGTGGGGAAATGCACTTGAGGTGTGGGACCTATTGTTACTATAATCACCATACACGGTTATGTGGTTTTGTATCTTCACAAACATCTAGTGAAGAACAAACCCAGTCAATTGTTAAGTCATTCATACACAGAAATACAGCATTCTTCCGGAGTTTCAGAAACAACTAAGGTTCCACTGGAACACCTGATACACCACACAATGGTAAAATTCTGTGAAACAGAAAGAACTCATTTCACTCAGTCAATGACTCATTTTAATATGTATAAATGTGGAATTCACCAAAGAATTCATGAAGTCTTAGGGATTCCATTCTATCAGGACTGAAACTATAGCTGAGCTGCCTCCTGTGTTATTTATTGAGAAATAAAATTGACTTTCTGTGTTTCTACTGAGCATTTTAATGGACAATTTCCTCTTTCTTCAAGAATATTTTTGGAAATATCTAGAAGGCAGGCAATGTCTTGGAAAGTTTCCCCAAGTCATCCATCTTTTGGAGCACTGGATTGTGATCCTGGGGGTACTCTACACTTTTCCACAGCAACGGAGAAAATGAATGTTGCACAGTTAGCCATATGTTCAAATGTGGGTTTGCACGGCGATGCCAGAGAGTTAGGAGAGTAACTGGATCAGGAACGCCCATGGCGGGCTAGGGATAGTAGTCTTCAGTCTGCTTCCATTATCCCCAGGGCCGTTTGATGTGTGTGGAGTCACAAAGCAAGATCACAGAATTTCCTCACATCACTTGACACTGGCAAGAGGGAACTAAAAGTCATTGAAGCTGCAGGACTTCAGAAAATGTCCCCTAAATGCATATTCTTTTCAAGTTTCTCTATTTCTCCATATGAGTTACCAAATACAATATGCAGACTTCCAAAAGAGTATTTCCTAGTTTAACTGCGAGCTCCCTCGGAGCCTGAGTTTCAAAAGCCATCTGAGTTTGATGGTTTTATCTTCTGGGAGGGACAGAGTTCCTGGCCCCTGATTGGCATGAATAGCTTCCAATTCCACACTGGCACATTTGGCAAATAAATGATTATTTTATGTCAAACAAATCTTCTTTCAGATCTCAAATGATTATTGGGGGTAAAAAAGTGGGAAATCTGTTAGACACATTTTTACCCATGAAAATACCCTGCCATAATTTAAAGAAAATCACCATTTTAGGATCTCCAAGATATTGTGGGCATATAAAAGTATATAAGAAATAGACCTGGCTCTCATGCAACTGGTCTTCTCTCTTTCTTATTCCTTTGGTATTGATTCATATTTGTATCTTCCTTGAACCACGTATATAGTCATTAACCCATCATTCAATACAAGGCAAGAATTTTGATAACAAATACTTAATTAATGTGCTTTTCCTTCATTCTGTCCCTGGGGCTGCCATCACCATGAATCTTGTTTTTCATTTCATCGAATCTCTTAATATAATTTGATATATTACTGCAAATTGTATTTTGGCATTTTACATAAACTTAACAAAAGTAGAGTTAGACTTCTCTTGGGGGATTTCTTTTTCTTTTTCCTCAACAGCAGACTGCTGAAGATCTATCCTTATTATTGTTTATATCTGTAATTTACCTACCACGAGGCTAATATTCTACAGAGTAAATACACCATAGGGTTATCTCTTATCTTGTTGACAGACACTTGGCTTGTTCAATATTTTCACTATTACAAATAGTACTGCAGTAAACATTCTCATGCATGTTCTTAGTGTATATGTGGAAGTCTCTCTTGGACAGGAATCTAGCCATAGAATGGTTGGGTGTATGACTGTTCGTCCTCAGAAGACAATGCCAAGTTCTTTCCCAAAGTGGTTGACCCAGTTTAAACTCCCACAAGCAAAGTAAAAAAAAAAAAATCTCCTGTAGATTCATTTCCTCTCCAACACTAGTTATAAAATGGTAAAGACTTCATGTGCTTTCTCTGAGCGATAACATAGGCAAGGATCCCTCCATAGTTGATGGACCATATGGACTCCTCTTCTGTGAAATCCTCACTCATGTCTCTTGCTTGTTTTTCTATTGGATTATCTTTTTCTCCTTGATCTGTAGGCATTCTTTACATTTTCTTTGCAATTTTTGTTTCTATAAGGGTGCTCCAAAAAGTTTATGGGAAATGGAATGAAAAGTTTATTTTAGTGCAAGAACTTTAAGCTCCATGCATAGGTTTTTTTTTTTTTTTTTTTCAAAATGTGCACAGTGAACTTTGGAATCTTCCTTGGATATGCAATTTTAATTTTTTGCATGAAAATAAACTTATCTTTTAATTTAATTTTCCAAGAACTTTTTGAAGTACCTTCATATGTGCTGCAAATATCCTTTTTTATTTGTGACATGCCTGCTTTCAGCTTTTATTATTTTGATGAATGTAAATTTAATATTAAGATAGTCAAATTTTTTAATCTTTCTTTTTATTGTTAGCACTGGTTTCTAGTTTAATAAAGTATTTCCTTTCCTAATACCACGAAAATACTTACATACATCCTAAAGATGACTGTACCCTTTTACTTATGACCTTGTACTTGATCCATGTGGGGTTGGTATCTGTGTGGGCTTTGAAGGCAGGCTACAGATGCCTTTATCAACCTGAGAATGATCACTTTGTGCAGTTCCATGTTATAAGCAGTTCCTCTGTTGTCACTGATCTGGCTTTCCTGTTTTTCTATTAGCATACCCTATTAGGTTGGTTTTAGACTGTGAACTGTTTCAAACACCGTGGGTTTATACTAAATCCTGATAGCTGGTAGGGCAAGTCTTCCTGCCCTCTGATTATGCTTTTGAAGAATTGTAGCCCTTTGTTCTTATGGATTTCAGAGATAGTTTACCAACTGGGCTTTTGATTGGAAGTGAACTGGATTGAAAGGTCCTTTTATGGGAGAACTGATATTTTTTCAATATTAAATATTTCGACATATGAATATGTAAATCTCAGAAGTTTGGTGTTTGTCACTGACGTGTATAATATTCCCTGTAGAAGTACTGCCTGCTGTTGTTAGATGTAGTCCATGGGACATGATTTTCTGTAATACTATTTTAAATGGTATCATCTTTTTATTTATATTTATTGGCTAATTTTTTTGCTTATGAATACCAAGGCCAGTGCTGTTTGTTGACCTTATGTCTGGCCTCTCAGCAAATTTTCCCTTTATTTCCAGTATCTTGTCAAGAGAGTCTTTTGAATTTTTCACATAAACAATCATAGCATCGATCTCTAGAAGTCACACTTTTTTTTTTTACATTTATTCCTAGACAGGTGATATGTAATGATGTTGTGTTATCATAGTTTTGCATTATTTCATTATTTTATTTTTGGTTGATTCATAGAGATGCTATTAACTTCTTAAAATTAGTTGTATTTTTCGTCTCCTCCCTTCCCCCCCATATTACAGACAAGAAAATTGAGGCCTAGAGAGTTGAAACAATTGTCAAGGCTCCTTGTGGCAGTAAGTGCTGAGGTTAGATTAAAACCCATCCATGCTAACCCCAGCACCCATGCTCTCTCCCAGGCTTGTTTCCCTGCAATGCATAGCAAACGGTGTTTATAAAACACTGTTAAGAAGCAAAGCAGGGAGAATCTCATTTCTGCCTTTTGTTTCTTCCCAGATCCTATCACTGTCTTCCCCTTAAAGATACTGAGACCAGACTCACCTGCTCCTCTCCCTGTGTGCCCTCTGTGCCCTGCCCCATTGCAGACTCGGATTGCACATGGCTTTCCCAGCTCCTCTGAATGTTCATGAAAACTCAGTAACTATGCATATCTGAAAAAATTCTCCTGTGACAGTAAGCATAAAATTCTTCCACAACCCTCAGAGAAAGTTAGCATATAATATAGCTAAGTCTTTAAAATATATGCATGCTTTTAGCAGGCTAAATAGTTCTTTTGGAGTCTTTCTGCTCTGGTGGGTAAATTCACATTCAATCAATTTCTGCAAATACATGTTCAGTCGCCAATGGGCTTACATTTTGATATGCAGCTTATAATATGCAGTTAATGGCTAGGAACTGCTCCTAGAGTGCTATTTTGGTCTGTCACACATTTTTCAGGCCTCGGTGATCTATTGATTGAACCTGAATTCATACATTTTTATGAATTCATGAGTTTCATAAGATTAAAAGACCATAACCTATGGTAAAAATCATTTGTGAATTAAAAAAAATCAAAGTTATTCTGAAACTTGAGTAGACTCACGAGAAAAATCAAGGTGAAACTCAGTTTCTCATAATTTAAAAAAAAAAAGACAATTTGAGAGAAAAATCTGTATAAAAGCAATTGTTCCCAGGCTGATTCTTTATCTCAAATGCTACTGTTCAGGACCGGATTTTAAAGTGAAAGCCTTCAGCCTAGAAAAAGGTTGCTTAAAACTAGATAGTGCTAAAAGAAAGGAAGGGGGAACAATGGTCATTGGTTGAAATTTTAATGTCACTGAGAAAAATTCAACACTAAGGATGATTACCATTCAGATAATTACTCTTCCTTTCAAGGCACTGTAAAAACTACCGGTTGTTTTATTTACACAGAGAATACATACCTGTTTACAATATCTGTAACTGCAAAATAAAATTACTTATTATCCTTAGCTCCAGAGGTAGAATCAAAGAAAGATGACTTTCATCACCTAGGATCACTTCCCAAGGTAGAGCCAGATGGGAGAAGAGACTCCAGTGCCCAGAGTCTCCTCCTGGTTCCCTACCCACAGTGCTTCTCCTGGGGCATGAGGTAGGGGAGGAACCAGGGATTCTGCCTAGGCAATCTGCAGAAAGTAATGCCAAAGAGGGTGCTGATGAAAAGTAGGATTTGTCTTAGGGGACTATGAGACACTTTCATCCATTAGTCACTGACCAGCAAGTTCCCCCAGAATGCTCTTTCCCCGATATTCCTATTGGAAAAATTATGAATGCCACTTAGAGAATGGGCACGTGGGGTTGTTTCTGGTCGACAAATACTCACCCCTACAAATCCTCACTGTGTTCCATCACACTGTGTTCATTCAATTCCAGGCTCCCGAGATGCTGGGAGAGGCCAGAATCAACAGTGTGACTGCCTCTAAAAGCCAAACTGTAGGGAAGATGGGGACACACGGCCATCTCCCTGCTGCCCTGAATATTCAGACCTAGAACTGCCCTCTAGTCAACCCAGCTGGAGGGGGCCACCAAGAACAGGAAGAGCAGGTGTCATAGCTTACCACGTATGCAAGGTGCGCCCTGGTGATCACGGCTGTTCGTTGACTAGCAACGGTAATGCTCAGAGAGGAAGCTGCGGCCAGCTGAGGTCTTCGGGCCTCGGACGGTGACACCTCCACTCTCACTTCCAACGTCATGGCTGCGAGGCCATCTGTGACTGAGATCTCCATGCTGTCTTCCTGGGCGGAGGAGCCGTCATGCACATACTGCACAGCATTTTTCTCCATTTCCTCCTGAGTGAAAGTGTCGCCTTCCAAGAACAAAACAGATCACAAAACCGGTGGCTTCTGGGAATAATACTTTTCACTTATATGGCATCTTGGTTCTCAGGGTTTCAAAGTATGTACAAAATCATCCACGTTGGGAATGATAAGCTCATCATAACCCACCAACACAGGTTTCTCTTTACACCACTCTCCAGGAAGAGTGAGGTAGCCTGATTTTCACCACCACTTGAGATGGGAGGCTGACTGTAACAAGGCAGCTAATTCCTCCTGAGATAGCTCTAAGGTTTAAGTTCTTAGTCCTACTGAGCTAAAATATGCCTCTACAAAATCCATTCTTTATTCCTACTTCTAGAAAAATAAAGAACAATCTTCTATTCTTTATGAGAGCTCTTTTGGAATCTAGTGTTTAATTTTTAAATTTGAATGGCATAGTGATGAGAGAGACAGACAGACAGACAGACACAGAATGAGAAAGAGACCTTCCATCTGCTGGTTCACTTCCCAAATGGCCATAACAGCAGGGGCTGGGCCAGGCTGAAGCCAGGAGCCCGTAACTCCATCCAGGTCTCCCATGTGGGTGTAGGGGCCCAAGTACTGGGCTCATCTGCTGCCGCCTTCCCAGGTGCACTAGGAGGGAGCTGCATTGGAAGCAGACCTGTTGAGACTAGAATTGGCTCTCCAACTTGGGATGGAGGCATTAAAAGTGGTGACTTGACCCACTATGCCTCCACTCTGGCCTCTGGAATATAATCTTAATACTGAAAAAAATCTTTGAAAAACTTAAGAAAATAAATCACACCTGATAAACCTGTAAGAGGGAGAAATGCAAGAGTTTTTTTTGAAATTAAAAACTGAAAAATATACTTGAAGTTAGAAACCCAGGCTGTGTAGTCTAGAGTATTAATACATAATAGATTAGAAAAGTATTGTGTGAAATGTATCATTTCACATAAGTTTGGAGAAAATGGAATTAAGTAAAATTTTAAATTAAAATTTTTTAAACTGTAGGATTTATTCAAATTTTAGAATCTTTAATACACAAATATCAAACCTTTTCAAATTTGTTTGTTCATGGAATTCTTTTTTGACAAATGCCTCTTGGTGCCATGGGCCTTAATGATGGCAAAAAACACAGTTGAGAAATGGCTCTTCTTGGATGTTACATTCAACTCCATTTTTTAATAAATTGTTGACTCCAGTAATGGATGTTATGTGATGGGATAGAAGAATTAACATTCTCTATAATCATTCTCAACTTTCTCTTTCAACATTGTGCTACTGTATTCTATGGTGGTAGTAGTATTATACCTAAAAAAAGATAATAAAACTTGCTATAAACATCTTTAGATTTTATGTATAACACAAATGTAGGCTAACTGTAATGTTAAAAAAAATTGAGCAAAGACTATTATGCTCTTAAAGTAGTTCCCTTGGGATCCTATAAATCTATTGTAATGGCGCTTCTTTTGTCCGGTCAATTTTGTAAAGTCTACGTATGTGACTCCTACATGCCCATGAGTTGTTGTGAAAAATTCAATCTCCTTCAAGGACAACAATTTGTCCCAGCAGGGATGTTCTGAAGAATGCATTGGTAAATCTGTGAAAGGATTCTTGCAAAGGCTTTGTGAAAGCACAGATTGTTGGACTACGATACAGCATTCTGGGGAGACTACTTTGAAAGCGCAAATATTCACTCTGATACACAAGGGTTCACTATTCAGAAGTTAGATTGAGTTGTGTTCTTTCTGCTTTTCTGTGCTTCCTAAACAATCTGCATCCTTTTTTTTTTATTAATCAGAGAGAATACAATAAATATTTTGGAAAGCTGGTCACATCACAACACTGCTACACTGCTTAGATAATACTTCAGAAATGTACTCAGCTTGTTCTTTTCAAAGATGCATGTAGCCAACACTAACAGAGCCAGGATGCTAAAAATTCTTGTAAGTTTCATATATCGAATTAATACCAATAGGGGCTGGCACTGTGGTGCAGCCGGTAAACCCACCATCTGCAGGGCCCGTGTCCCATATGGGCACCGGTTCGAGTCCCAGCTGCTTTATTTCAGATACAGCTCCCTGCTAATGCGCCTGGGCAGACGGCCCAGGTGCTTGGGCCCCTCTACACATGTAGGAGGCAGAAGAAGCTCCTGGTTCCTGGCTATGGCTTGGCCCAGCCCTGCCTGTTGTGGCCATTTAGGGAGTGAACCAGCAGATGGAAGCGCACTCTCTCCCTCTCTCTCTCCTTTTTCTAACTCTTTCAAATAAGTCTTAAAAACAACTTAAGACCAACAAATGTCTTTTCATGAACACAGTGAAGGAAAGTGGCAGCTGACATCTCTTCTGGCTTTTTTTCCCATGCATTTACTCCACGTTCTGGAAGTAAGGCAACCAATTTCACCTAGAACGTGAGGAAAGAGCTTCATGGGTTTTGAGGTGGGGATGGGGGCAGGAAGGGGTTGGGAGGCAGGAGCAGGCAGAGGAAAAAGGTCTGAAGTAAATACCTAGGCAGTGAGGTCAACACGAAAGGCAGCATCTGCTCCTAGTTTGCTCAGAAAGACACCTGCCTTCCTGCCTGAGACACACACAAGCAGGTCAGTGACCCCGCGTGCAGCTACCTGTGGCCATGGGCCCCTGGAACTCAGCTGTGTGCTTAAGGAGCACCCCATGCGCGGGAGGCCTCCGGAGCTCGAAGAAGAGGTCTTCAGCTGTGGTCTCAGCAGCTTCCACCACCGACCGAAGCCCTGCAGCAACAGAGTAAAACAGAGTGAGAGCCAGGGTTCCTTGGCAACCAGAGACTCCGCCCTTTAAAGCCACAGGCCAGGCTGCAAGCCAGGCTGTGAGTAACCTGGGAGTCATCACACGGTGCTTTTGAATTCCAATCAAGCACAGGATGAAAACAGATAGTGTGGGACCATACTTCAACAGGCTCATGGAAAGATGGAATTTAAGGGAAAGTTCAATTCTGGTGCAAAAAACATCTTTGAAATAAATATGAAGGGTTTTCAAAGAGTTATGGAAAATGCATGTTATGAAAAAGGTACGGATTTCAAGAATGTTTTGCATCAAGATAAGCTTGTCTTTTAATTTTATGTTTCCATGAACCTTTTGAAGTGTCTTTGCAGTCAACACCCAAATTGCAAGCAGATCTTTCCCAAAGTTCACTTAGACGTGTTTCTGAATCCGTAGCCCATTCTCCCCCTGGTACACATGAAGGCATGCGTAAAGGATGCCCACAGGTCAATCAACCCTGGCTAGCTGGGGTCGATTTTTTTCCAGAAAATATTCCCACAGCCTGTGTTTAACTGTCATTGTTTCTCCCCTTTATATTTTTCTGAATTCATAGGAGTCAAATTTAAAGAGGGTTGCTGTGGCCATCATGAAAGTGAGCAGGGGTCCGTATACTAATAAGTAAATAAAATGATGCACAAAATAGCTGGGCCAAGTCTCCCACTTCACAGCTTCTGAAGGTCACTGTCATCTGTCACTTCTATTATTTTTCACTTTCTGAATAGAAAACAAGAGAAGCTACTCAAAACCACGTCCCTCTCGTCCTTTCTGCTCTCTGTTACTTTATATTTTAGGGATGGGCCACAAATCAAACTCCTAGAGGCTGGAAAATAAGCCACTGAGTGGTGGCTCTAGAGGGTTCGTTCCCTTCTCTCTGTGCTGCTTGTACAGGCGTGGAAACGGCAGGAGGAAGACACGGATGGAAAGGCATGCGAGAGGTGGTCACTGCTGTCTGCCAGCCCTCAAGAGGCTTGAAGAGGGACTACCGTAGAAATACAGCACCATTTCCAAAGCCATGGTTCCTACCTAGCGAAGTGCTGCCTCCTGGGCTGACACGAAGCAGGGGAGCCGTGACCTGGAAGACGGGAGGCTGCCCATCAGTGCGAAGTAAGTGAATGGTGAGGACCAGCTCTGGACCTGTGTGCTCTCCATCTGAAACTAGAAGGCATAAGCACAACAAATGTTTGGTAAACAAACATAAGCATTTACAATTAAAATATTAGCAGTGATACGTCTCGCACCCTCTGAGCAACATTTCTGATTTCTCTGAGAAACAAAGTGCCTCTTTGAGTTAAATGGCTCCTGCGGGCCCCACTGGCCTCGTGCACGCTACTTGCTCAGAACCACTGCGCAGAGCGTCTGTGCTTGTCCTGCAGCCAACCAGCTCAGGCGCATCAGCTTTCCTGCTCATGTGAGCTGACAACCCAAAAGGAGCTGTTCTCCCTCATCTTATGGGTTAACATCAGGGCTGGGCTTGCGGCTGCCTTGATTCATTATCTGCCCAATTATAAATTCTCTCTTTCACAAAACTCTTCCAGAGGAATTGGTTTTCTTCTTACCAGATTCCCAAAGCTTTACTCCTTAGGAAAAAGAGAAAAGGAAACTTGACCTTGGGTAGAAGCGAGATAATTTAAGGTCAGCTCAAGGTCCATTCCCTTCATTGTTTAATACATTTAAGGATCATTTTATTTAACATTCTAGAGAAACTAATTATGAGCTCTTCACCTACCTAAACTTCTAGGCAAAAGTTAGGGCATGGTACAATGACACCTGTTTTTCACGACCAACACACATACATGCACACACACACATATGTGCGCGGACTAAGCCAACTATGCCATACTCAAAGACAGAAACTTGTATTAAAATCTTGGTTCTACAAAGTTTGTCAGGGGTGGAAACCTGGAAGATTATTGACTTTTTATGGTTTTCAGTATCTCCAGCTTTAAAATGCTTAAAATAATATCTGTCCTTGCAATACTGTCATAAGGATTAAATTAGACAACTTTTATCATAAGTTGTTTTGTAAAGTGTAAAAAGTTATTATACATTGGCCGGCGCCCGCGGCTCACTAGGCTAATCTTCCGCCTTGCGGCGCCGGCACACCGAGTTCTAGTCCCGGTCAGGGCGCCGGATCCTGTCCCAGTTGCCCCTCTTCCAGCCCAGCTCTCTGCTGTGGCCAGGGAAGGCAGTGGAGGATGGCCCAAGTGCTTGGGCCCTGCACCCCATGGGAGACCAGGAGAAGCACCTGGCTCCTGCTTTCCGATCAGTGCAGTGCGCCGGCCGCAGCACGCCGGCCGTGGCGGCCATTGGAGGGTGAACCAATGGCAAAGGAAGACCTTTCTCTCTGTCTCTCTCACTGTCCACTCTGCCTGTCAAAAAAAAAAAGTTATTATACATTATTGCTGATTCTATGAATTTTGTAGTGGACTCTTACTAGAAATGAGCCGAGATCAAAAGGGCTGAGATCAACAGTTGGCACCATTCTGGAACTTACTGTTGATTCAAGTGTGATTTTTAATTCTCAGAAAGAAGAAAGGGCTGGGAGTTTGATGGAGTCAATTTTCTGTCCCACTACTGCTTTTTTCCTATAGGATATGTAGCAGGACATAGGGCTGGTTGATTATAATGCAGTAGTCAGTCCTATCTATACACCTCTGTGAGGACGCTAATTATGGTCAAGCATCCTCACTCTACCCTGACAAGAAAGCTTCTCCCCAGAGTGTTCACACATAGACACCAAACATGCCTCCGCTTTGCTGACAGCTTCTACTGCCCTGTGAGCTACACCTAGGATGCTGAGGTCTTTGCAAGAAGCTTCCCAGCTCACACTCTGACATGCACTTTTCTCTCCAACAGCAAGGCACACAGAAAGAAAGGACTGATACAGGGGAAAATTCCATTTTCTAATAAGGTTGATATTAAAGACTTTACCTGTGAAATGAAACTTTACTGACTCTGGCAGACCTGAAAGAGCAAGAGAGAAAATCAGTATATTAAATATGTTGGAGTCAGAGATAGATAAGACAGACCGGAAATATGGGTCAGAGGTTAGGAAAGTAAAGAATATTTTACTCTAAATTATTCTGGCTTAAGGAAAGATCACCAGATCATTTGCTAATGTTATGTTGAATTTAATGGCACCAGCATTAATTTTTAAGTTGCAAAGAGAAGCACACAGTGGAAAAAATTTATATCATAGCAGCTGGAATGATTTATAATGCATTCATTCTGATCCCATTTTATCAGTACATAAAATCCTACAAATCGGTGATTGTGGGTGATGCTGTATATCAGTGACAGGGCTCTCAGGTGGGTCAATTCCATTGTAGACTTGAGTGATGCTGGGGACATTGATTTACACACTGTTACTGTGGGAGAGATTTATCTCATGGCATTTATCCCACAGCTTACAAACGACAGGATTCTCTCTCCAAAGAGGCTCTGAGAACTCAGGCGAGTAAGGTTTGGAAGGAAATGACTTCAACCATGGCTGACATGCTTTCTTTCTCTCTAATCCCAAGATATCCTGAGTTTCTTGTAAAGTAGAGCTTAGAGAACCATGAACATTTCTGTGGGCTATTAACCCAGTTACTAAACATTGGGGGCACTCTGTAGAGAAGAGGCGTATTCTTGCCCTGAGAGATTTTCAATCTAATCAAGAAGTTAACCATTTTCTGGACAATTGTCCTTATGTTACATAAAAGCAAATATCGTTTCATAATTTACCATAATCCGAAAAGAACTTTACATTATTTAATGCATGTCCAAATTACCATAAGAAATGTCCAAATGTTCTGTGTGAACAAACATCACATAAAGATATTTCAAAAAGTTTGTGGAAAGTGGAATTAAATGGTAAGTTTACTTTGGTGCAAAAAAAAATTGAAATCTCATATACAGGATTCTTCAAAAAGTTCATGGAAAATATGTTTTAGAACAAAATGCAGGTTTTTCAAATTCTTTCACTGAAGTAAACTTATCTTTTCAGATCACTTTTCCAAAAATCTTTATGAAGTTCTTCTGTATAAAAATAATACCGTACATTCATGTTATATGGTATGTCCAAGATCATAAAGAAACAAGCTCTAGGATTTTTGAAGGCATAGAAAATAGTTAGGGGTAGGAGCTCAAAACCCTGCTCTCTCTTCAGAGCTTTGGTTGTAGCATTAAGGGAAGAGATAAAGAAAGAAGGCCTTCCTGGCTTGGCAGAAGGGTTCACGGGAGCTTTAATGATAAGGTATTGTTCTTCTGTTCAGTCTTCCTCTAAAAGGCTGTCTTCCATTAAATCATGGTTTTCATGTGCATTTTCCATCCCTCCATGACACATGTCCTGAGGTACTATAGGGTCTTCCTTATTGGACTCCTCCAACCCACACCCCCAAGGCCACTGACATCACTGCAGAGTTCCTTATGAAATGCTAGCTTACATAGCTTCCTCAGCTGGACTCCTCTTGTTCTGGGGATGAAAACACAAATCCTGGGGCTGGCTTTGCAGAGTAGTGTGGGGAGCAGGGCCCGTTTCCCGTAACATGGCAGGACCCGGTGCCCGGGAGACAAATAAGTACTGAGACTGTGGGCTAATAAGTACTGAAACTACCGAGACTGGACTAGACCACTGAGATTATTAAGACTAACTCTATGCATCTGATCTCCCACCATGTGGCGCTGAGAGGGAGTAAACAACTTCCACACAGCTGCCTCACCAATTCGACTAACAAGCTGCAGGAGCTGATCCTGCCCCTGATTGGAGGAGAGCAGCGTGCTCAGTGCATGGGGAGAGAATGCCAGCAGAGTTGGGATTGGTGGAAAAGGACTATAAAGGAGGAGAGAGACAACATGCGGGAGGAACATCTGAGGAACCCCTGAGAGAGCCGGCGGTTGGTGTGCTGCTCCTCCGCAGAAGCGGGGGAAGCGGCGGGGGGGCCGCCCCTCCACGGAGGCGGGGGGGCTGGCAGCTAATCCGGGGAGGACCAGGGAAAGAGACAACAGCAAATCCGTTGCCACTCCTCCACAAGCCTGCGGAGTGAGCGACAGAGTAGCAGGTTAAGCCACCACCTGCAATGGCTGGTATCCCATATGGGTGCCGGTTATAGTCCCAGCTACTCCACTTCCAAGCCAGCTCTCTGATAATGCACCCAGGAAAGCAGCAGAAGATGGGCCAAATGCTTGGGTCCCTGCACCCATGTGGGAGACCTGGAAGAAGCTCTTGACTCTCGGCTTTAGCTTGGCCCAGCTCTGCCTGTTGTATGTAGCAGATGGAAGACCTCTCCCTTTGTCTCTCCTAATCTCTTCTAACTCTGCCTTTCAAATACATAAATCTTACAAAAAGAAAAAGAAAGCAGAAATCCTTAATGGCTTCCTCTGGCCTCTCTCTCCCACCAGGCTCATCCCTAACTATGCTTGACCCTCAATACTGCACGCTCAGATGTTTTTAAACTCTCAGAAGGCCATATTCCTTCTTTCCCATGGCCTTTGGTCATGGACCCATGGACTTCTTTCAGGAATGCTCTCTGACCACCTCGAGATGTGTACTTGACCTCATTGGTTTCCACCCTCTCCTCCACTGCCAACACTTTCCTGGGGCAGCCCCCACTCACGATCAGTCTTGTTTGGTTTAGTGCCATTCTGAACATTCTTTCTCCTTTCCAGAGCTCTTATCTCAAATCTGCAGTTAAACTCTTACTACTGGAATTATTTATCAAATACTGTTCCTCTCTAGATCCCCAAACTTGCTAAGAGCAGATCCGTGCCTCCTTTTGCTCACTGTTTTAACTCCAACAGCTCAATCAGTGACACACAGCCAGCAGAAAATCCAGACTTACTGGAAGTATGCCTCCATCCATGCATGAATAAATGAACAGAACAGAACTGAGCCCACACTACACACTTGACATCATGCTACATACTAAGCCAACAGGTCTCAACGCGATTTAAAAGAGCTGCAAGGCAGTATCATCAAACTGTCCATAAGACCGTGGGAAAAGTTAGGGGGCATCTGTTACCAGCGTCTCCAGGCAGAGGATAGAGCATTACCAGCGAAGGAGAAGGCCATGATCTCCTGCAGGTGCGGGGCTGCAGCGGGAGGACGGTACAGGATTTTGCCCAGGTTAATATCTTCCTGCGTGAAATACCGGATGGGAACCTGAGGCTGGTCCCGGTGCACGATGAGTCCTGCAGGGGAAGAGGCTGGCATGAGTGTCACCAGTAACCTGAGCCACGGCACGCCCCTCTCCTGCTGTTGCTGCTGGTGTTGGGGCGGGGGACGTCTTTCATCCTTTAAGAGCAAATGACCTCGGCCTGTTCTTGGTAGACTACTCTCTAGTTATTTAAGAGGAGGGAAACCCACAGACAACTGATTAGGGTGCACTGAATATAAACCACAGTAAGGTACTAACCACTGCCCCTAATGTGCCTTAGACAAGATTTTTTTCCCAGATGATTATGAGAGTCTCTCACTGAGTTTCAATTCAACAGCCAGGGTCCCTGAGAAACTGGCACAGACTTGTCTTCTACTGAAGCCACAAAGAGAGTTTTCTCAATTCGCCCTCTTTCCTTCAGAAACTCTTTAGACTCTGAGGTCGTCTTTGACGACGGCCACATGGATCTTGATTATTCTAAGAACTGCATTTGTGAGGGTCACTTTGCTTGTGAGAAATGCTCTGGGGGGCTGCAGAATTGCCCATCATTTCAAAGTTCTGCAGGTGCACAGGGAGGGATAACTTTTAGATGTTCAGTTTCCTTGGGCTTTATCAAAGGGGTTGCAATTTATGTCTCAGACTTTTCCTTCTCCTTGGGAATTTGATCATAGGCGAGCTCCACATCTAGGGCTTGGGAGACAGTCTCAGCAGTGGAAACAGAGCAGTATTAATAGAAGCTGATCTTCCCACGAAGGGCAGCAACACCTCTGCTGGCCACAGGCTGACTAGTTAAGCCCAGAGTGAAGCAATCTAGTGGCTGGGAACTGACCATGAGACCCAGCTATCCTCAGCCCAGAGTTCTACACTGCCTTGTTCCCCTAGGGGAAGAGGAGTGCCTTATCATCTGATCAGGAGAGGAACTCAATACATGTGGCTCAGCCTCCTTTGGGCTCTAGGGAAGACCTTGCGTTAACCACATGCTTGTCCTGGTCTTGCCTCCTCAAAACCTCATCAGGGCAGGCTCTGCCCCTAGAGACCCTACAGAGCAGTGAGTGTCCAGAGCTCAATCCAGTGACACTATGCTCTCCAGTACAGCTGTCAACACCAAGGCTCACAGATCCACTTCCATCTGTCTGACCATAGTGCCTCACTCTCTCCCAGTTAGCTGTAATCCAGAGGACAGATTCGATGGGGGTATGATTCATTGTTTCTCCTTGAAACTTCCACAAGCATCTCCTTGCATACAAGCAGACAAAACCCCAGGGTTTTCCACACTTGTCAACAACTAGAGAGATGATAGAGGGTACATCTTACCTTGATTTGGGGGCAGAGGGAGGGTAATGTTATATACAATCTTCCCACTTGGCTTTTCGGAGTTAACAAAGGAGAGGGAATGAGGCTGGATGACGGTCAGGCCATCTTCCCGTGCCTGAACAAAATTTAAGATGAAAGAAATAGAAAACAGTGCCTTAAAAACAAAGCTCAGAAGCAAACACAAGTCCTATATTAAGAAAACAAAACCAAATTCTCCCTGGGCTTAGAAATCAGTCACAATTAGAAAGACTTTCTCAAAACCTTAAAAGAAGGACCCTGTCCTGTCTCTTGCACTGAAGATCTGTCTCAGCCTCAAGAATCTGTCAGGTGTATGGAGCCCTTGTCAGGTTTCCTTGCACCGTGATGTTTCCCTCCCCTTCCCCATGCATGCCATGGGGGTCCCAACAGGATTACTTTTTCCCTAGGAGGAATCTGCAGCAAAGCACGTTTGAAAATGAGGCATCACTACCCACACTGGTTCACGTCTTTGCTCCTGTAGCTCAAATAGCTAAGGAAGAATTCGGCAAAGATGCATGAGGATCCAGCTAGAGATTTAAGTCTTGGCCCGAGGTAGTTCTGCAGAGCAGAACCCAGCTCCGTGCTTTCCTAAAGGAACTATGATGCCTTCTGGTTTCCAAGGGCTAACGATGAGCCCACTTCAAACACCAAGAGAAGCTCATCGTTTGCATTCAGGGGTTTAAGAGTGTTAAAACATATAAAGATCCCCCCCCCCCCACCGCAAAAAAACGTATAAAAATCCCTAGTATTTCATTGCCCTCATTCTACTGTTGCTAAGAACTAGATGTGGCTTTCCCCCGTAGCTTTCAGGACTCAATTAATCAGTCAAGCAACATTAATCAGAGGGTCAATGAGCTTGCTGCTTTGACCATCCATTCACCTGTGCACACCCGCAACTCAGTAACAGAGAAACAAAGAGATTCAGAATCCATCCGTATGCATGTTGGACAGTGGGTTGGGGACAGGAGTAAAAACAGTGTGGAGAGGAGAAAAGGGAAAACTGCCCTGAACCTGGGCTTTTTGCCCGGAGCCTTCATGATGTCACAAAGCAGCTCTTCTAACTGAGCCCTGGAGGTGGCTTCGAGTTGACATGCAGCCCTGCTTCTCTCAGAAGGAATTCCCCGCTTAGGGAAGGATTAAGCAGCACTCAGTCCTGTTCTCGGGAGGAGGGTGTGGTGTTCTTCCCTTTAACCATGAAAAGATTGAAGGTTGTAGTTGCTTTGAATTGTCCCCAAGGCATACTTGTCCCGGGGAGAGGCAGCATTTGCAGGTTAGGACAATCCTCCTCTAGGAACGAGTCGTATTTCAGGCCCATGCTCAGGTCTGGAATGTAACGAGCACGGAAAATGAGAATTATGAAGAGCAGCTGGTCTCTCAGCTGCAATAAAACAAGGCAACAAATTTAACTGTACGCACTGTCAGGCGTTTACAGCCCATCCATGTGTGCCATGTGTGGTCAATGACACGTGGACAGCGCAGTACAGGGGCAGTGCAACGCTCAGTGCTGCTCGTCACCTTCTACTCTCCAAACCATCGAAATCACTAAAAACTCTCCGAGTACCATGAGAGATTTCTGATGTCCTTAAATCAACAAAGTGATAGAAGAGAGCGTGATCATGGACATAGGAGTATGGAAAAGAGAAGTATGTTCCAGTCAAAACCAAAGATACCCTATCTTGTAACTTATTGATGCTATCTCTGTACTACTAGAGATAGAGAGCAGAAGAGGCAGTAAGGACTTGACTTTGAAGAAATCAATCTCAAGCTTGAAATACATTAAAGTATAACCAATTTTCATATTGGCGATTTTGAATGTCCACTACTTCACAAGAAAACAAAGTAAGAAATGAGAGATTAAACTTCATAGGAATCATGGCAGAAGATGCTTTTTCATATCTTACGTATCAACCAAAAAAAGATCACAGAATAATGGTTTTCATAACGGCCACGTTACCTCCAACTCCATCCAGAATGCAGCAGTGCTGCCCCCCCCTGCCCTCCCAGCAGGGTTCTCTCCTGTGGACGGCTCAGGGCCTCCCTCTGGCTCTCTCACCTCCCATAGAGTCTATCTCAGCCAGCAGCCAGCACGATTCCTTTAGGAAGGGTATGAGAGCTCTGCCAGTCCCCTGCAATGGCTTCTCGTTTTACTCAGCATAAAAGCCAGTTCTCCCAGGGTTGTATGAGACCCTGCAGGACCTGCCTCTCCCCTGGCCCCCACCACACTCATCACACCTGTGAATCCACTGCCTCATTCTCATTCTCATTCTGCTCCAGCACAGCCCATACCAAACCCAAGCAGGCCTGCTTCCTCAAGTCCCCTTATAAATGGGGACTTCCAAAAGTTCACAGAAAAGGGCAATTAAAAGATAAGTGTAGTGTGCTGAAGGACCCAGCGGAAAGCCATTGTGTCCTTTAGGGCTCTCTGCAGGGTACCTAAGCCAACTCCCACCTGTCAGCCTCTGAGGTGGCGGCAGCGCTGGCTTCAGATTGGCAAAGCCCCTCTTGGCCCAAAACACACTGAGTCCAACTTTAAGGCATTCAGCAAGCAATGGAAGACAGAGCCACAGAAATGTACACCTGATTTTCATGACAAACGGGGTACTGCTGTGTCGGTTAGTGGAGCTGTGTTGTGTGTAATGTGTGGACACATACAGCCACAAACCCTGGAATCGAATGGAACCCGTGTGCTGTTGGCAGAGTCACCTCAAAGGAAGAGAGACTCCAGTAAGTGCCCCAGCTTGGAGGAAGAGGGAATTGTTTCAAAACCTACTCCTCGATGATGCCAAATAAAAACATTGTATTAAAACACAGCATTGTTGAAGAAATAAAGTACATTTGAAATCTTCCCCTACAATGCGTGTTTATCTTGATACAAAAGTATTTTGTAATGCATGTATGATTTTTATGCATTTTCTATGGACTTTTTGGAAATCCCTTTTAGGCATAGACTTCAAAATTTTTAGCATCAAAATAAACTTCCCTTGTAATTCCATTTTCCATGAACTTTTGAAGTACACTCATTTCTGATCACAATGAGTGACACCTCTGTATACTAAGAAACTGGGGTGATGGGGCAGGCATTTGGCCAAGCAATTTTGGCGCTAGCTGGGATGCCTGTGCTCCACATCAGTGCTCTGTGATCTGGCTCTGGCTCCCAATTACAACTTCTTGCTAATGAAGATCCGGGGAGGCAGCAGGTGATGGCTCAAGTAATTGGGTTTCTGCTACTCACATGGGAGACCTAGAATGAGTACCCGGCTTGTGGATCTGGCCTGCCCCAGTATTGGTCATTGTGGGCATTTGAGGAATGAAACAGTGAATGAGAGCTCCCTTTCTCTGGGTTTCTTGAAAAAAAAATTATTTTAAATTGGGGTGGGGAGTGTGGGGATTTGGCACAGGATTTAAGTCATCATTTGGGATGCCCCATCTCATGCTACAATGCCTAGTTTGAGTCCTGGCTACTTTGATTCTAATGCAGCTTCCTGTTAATATACATCCTGGGAGGCAACAGGTGATGGCCCAAGTGCTTGGATCCCTGCCACCCCCTTGGGAAACTTAGATGGAGTTCTGGGCTGCTGACTTCAGTCTGGCCCAACCCTAGCTGTTGCAGCCACTTGGAGAGTGAAATAGTGGATGGAAGTTCTCTGTCAGTCAGTCTCTCTCTCTCTCTGCCTTTCAAATAAAAAATGAAAATAAATAAAAAAGAAAGGAAACTGGGGTGTTTCAAATGCCTCCCCTATTGAATTGGCCAGTGTCTCCAGATATATCTATCTACTCTCTTCCTTTCTCTCACCACCTTAATGATGTTTAAATGAACAATACCAGAGTGTTAATTGTATTGTTGTACAACAGATCTCGAGAACATTTCCCATCTTGTACAACAAACTGCATACCCACTGAACAACTCCCCTGTTCTGCCTCTCCCACTGCCAAGCCCACATCTGGAAACTACCAGTCTGCTTTCTTTGCTAAAAATCTGACTCCTTTAGATGCTTTACTTATGTGGGGAGTCTTTGTCCTTTCATGACTGGCTTTTCACTTAGCATGATGTCCTCAGACTTTAGCTCTGTGCCATCTCTCCTTTTTTAAGGCTGAGCAATAGTCTTGCCTGTGTATTTATTTACCTATTTATCAGTCAAAGGACATATAGATTGCTTCTACTTCTTTGGTCATTGTGAATAATGCTACAGTGAGTGAGAGTGTGAAAAATCTTTCTTCAAGATCTCCCTAACTTTGGATGGGTATTTGGCAGCAATGGTTAAGATGCCACATGGGATAGCATCATCCCATATGAGTGTGCCTAGGTTTGAATTCCAGCCCCGCTCCCAATTCCAGCTTTCTGCTCATAAGCACCCTGGAAGGCAGCAGATGATGGCTCAAGTAGCTCGGTCCTTGCCACCCATGTGGGAAACCTGGATCGAGCTCCTAGATCCTGGCTTCAACCTGGCCCAGCCTGGGCTATTACAGGTATTTTGGGAGTGAACCAACAGACTTCTCTCTCTCTTCAAACACATAAAATATACACATTTTAAACAGTTAAAAAACATCCTCTTAATCCTTATTGTCACTGTACAGAGTTTGTGTCACTAGCTTTCCCAGACAACTGCAATGGCCTATGTGTCTCTCCATTGGGATGTTCTGTACCCTGATGCCAGAGTGGTCTTCCTACGAGCATTAAAAATCCGACCCAGCACTTCTCTGCTACAAATTCTTCAACATCCTACTAGACCCAGTCGCTTTTCAGGACAAAACGGAAACACATTCCTCTTCTCTTAGACATCCTCCGGGATTTCACTCTCACTCCCTGTTGGGTTTTCACCTAGGGATTCCCACTCTAGCCAACTGAACCACCTGCAATTTGTCAAACACGTCATATTCGCCCAGGTCTCCGTCTTTCTCATTTGCTGCTCCTTCTGCCAGGAATGCATTGTCCCCTGTTTTTTTCATTTGTGGCATGGTTTTCTAAGTGTGGTGAGCTGAGCAGCAGCAGACAGCACCACCCGGGAACTTGTTCAAAAGGCATACTCTTGGCCCTACAACATCAGGGCTATTGGGTTAGAAAACTCTGAGGTAGATTCTGGGAATCTGTGGTTCAAGAAACTCTACAGGTGACTCTAATGCAGGCTTAAGTTTGAGAACTCAAGTTAATGCCAAGTTAATGCAAACTCAACCAGCCCAGACCCAGATGAAGCCATCCATGGTTCTCTCCATGCCCTGCCAGTTTAGGGGCCCTCCCACATCTTCCATGTCATTGCTCTGTCATGCACTTACCATTGGGTTATCGTGGCTTACTGATGTGCTTGTCTCCTAGCCTGAAAGTTCCTTGAGAATAGAGCCTGTGTTTCATGGTCACTGAACTTCCAATGTCCCATACAGCTCTTGGCATAAATTAGGGACTAAATGCATGACTGGAGAAGTAGATCCCCACCTTTAAACCCATAGATGAATATGTATACTTATTCCCAAATGTATTCATAATGTAGTTACTAAATGTATAAAACTTGTACACTTACATGAGTCAAAAATCACTGAATTGAGAATGTGTTCTTGTCAAAGATCGTAAGAATGGCCTACAGTCATGGCGCTAATTAATGTCAAAAGAAATACAAACTGTGAATGCCTAAAGTAACATGTAGGCAAATCAATCACATTTTACCATAAACTAACCTTTGAGATATCCTAAGTTTGAACTGGGCAGACTTGATCTGCAAACACACAAGCTAAAAGGTTAGGCAACTTCAGGTCAGGCTTCAGAGGGCCATAGAAACAGAGGGAATGGCACTGTCTTCATGGCTCCAGGCCCATACTTTTCCCCTCTCAACTCAAAATAACACTGCATTAGCATTTGGCAGGAGATGTGCATGCACATTTTTCTTTACAGTTTAGAGAAAATTCTGATGCAAGTTCCTCCAGTCAGAATGATGAATTATAGACTTTATAGTGCTGCTGAATTATGATTTCTTTAAATTACGGTTTATGGTGGAAATACCAATACCAGCTATTCATTAAAAACTTTCTATTTTCCCCTTTATGTCTCTGTCATGCCCCAGACCCATAATTTCTGAAACTATCATTATTCTCTTTGTTGTGGCTCAAGGCTGATGCACTGCTTTGGAGTATAATTATGTGGGTGCTAGCTAAAATGTAGACCCACAATAATTAATTTACAAGGTCTTGCCTGCTTGTGGCTATGTCTGGAAGGGGCGTTCTGGCATTCCACCACCCCAGACACAGGGTGACGGTGGAGTTGCTAATTGTCTCAACCGAGCTTTGTGGGCTAATTTAGTTGTCATCTTTCTTCAGATCTTTCCACATGCTGCACTCCTGCCCATACAGCATACAAGGCCTTCTGTGATCCAGTGCCATGACCTTCACAGCCCTGCTATGCCATCCCTGCCTTTCTCACTTGCTCTGGTTCGATTAAACTGTTTGCAGGGTCCTCGTCTCTCTCACTTCTCAGTCTTTAGCTTACTTTTTCTGCCTACGGAAGCACCCTCTGCCATCATGTATGCATTCCTCCTAACCTGCCCCCAATTTTTATTTAGATAATTGTTGCTTATCTCTCAGGATCCAGCATCAGTTTCTCCAGGAAGCTTTTATAGTAGAAAGGAAATTTTCACCAGAGCGTCTAAAAACACGGAACCCCTGTTTCCCAGCTAGGTGGCGCTGTCCTTAGCTGACCAACTTTAACCAAATGGTGTTGCCGACAAGGGCCTCAGATTTCATCCAAGGACTCAAGAAAAAGCCCTGAAAACTGTTTGCACCATTGACAAAAGCTGGAGGGTCAAGATGGAATTCGTTTCTTTTCCAGCTCCGTGAGAAACGTGTTCCCAGGGTTGGTGTTGACAGCCCCAGAGGCTGTGACGGGGGCAAAGCTCTCACCGCATACCCAATCAGGACATTGCATCTGGGCGCACAGTGCTTGCCCCACCCAACTCACTGTCATATGGAGAGACCTCCCCACAGAGAGGCGGGGTGCTTCCGGCGTCTGCGGCAAGATCGCGATGTTGAACGTGCGGCTCTCCAAGTGGGCCTGCGCGTCTGTAGCCCTGGACACCTGGAAAGACAAGTCACACTGCTGAGTCCCTCATGTCCTCTCAGGCAGGGCTTGTGTGTGCATGTGTAGTCCCCCACTGCCCCAAAGGCTCTGCTTTGGGTCCTGGATGCTCCTGCACTATGATTTCATTCTTCTCTTCACATTTTACTATTACTCTTTTACTGACTGTAAAAAACATACATAATCATTTTAGGCAACTCTGAAAATTTAGGTAAATATAAATCAGAAATAAAAAATCATCTAGGGGCCGATGCTGCGGCATAGGTGGTTGAGCCACCGCCTAAGGCACCAGCATGGCAAATGGGCACTGGTTTGAGTTGAGTCCCGGCTGCTCCACTTCTGGTCCAGCCTCCTGCCAATGCACCTGGGAAAGCAGTGGAAGGTGACCCAACTGTTTGGGCCTCTGTACCCACAAGGGAGACCTGGAGGAAGATACTGATTCCTGGCTTCAGCCTGGCCCAGGCACGGCTGTTGAGGCCATTTTGGGGAGTCAACCAGCAGATGGAAGGCCTCTGCCTCTGTAATTCTGTCTTTCGAATAAAAAAAGCATCTAGAATTTCATTACTTATAGTAATTATTAATATATTGATGTAATTCAGCTTCATCTTTTTTCTATGCAGATATATCAAAGTTATATTCAAATGCATATTGCATTTTTTCACAACACAATCCTAAGATATTTTGCTATATTATTCAACATTCTTGAAAATAAAATTTTTGATGGCCTCATTAAAATGTCTTCTTATGAGCATATAACAAAGGATTTTTATTCCATTGCCTTCATCTTCACCAAGCACAGACGTCTTCACCTACACGATAAATTCAGATCTTAGCCTCATCTTTGCAAGACAAGGTTGATAACATTACAATTAAGGCACTGGCCATAAAATCAACTTTTTCCTGCTTCAAAAAAATGCTGGAAAATGAAGCTCTTCCTCTGCAGCTTCTCTGTTCCTCTCAGTTACTGAGCTGCTCCCTTAAGCTCTTCTTCGCCCCATTCTTTGCTTCGCCTTGTTCTTATTGCAAGAAGTGCTAAGCCGTGTAGTGGAGTTGCACTAACTCCATGTGACAGGGTGTGGGCTTCTACGACTCTTTAGGAAAAGGCAGGGAGGGCAGCTCTTTCCCAGCGTCTTCCTAAGTTACAGAAAATCTGTCTTTGTCTTTATCTGGATCACATCAGATGCCGGGAATCACATTCCAGAATCTCTACATGTTTTCAAGGAGACATCTTCTAGTGTTGCTATAAATAACCATGGCTATAATCCACTGAAAATCTAGTAGAGACACTGCCCTCTGGTAGCTACTTGTCAGAGACTACCTTAACTTATCTTTAACTCCATTTTTCCACCAACTTTTTGAAGCACCCTCATATTAAGTAATGCATCAAAGTGTCAAAGCCAGGAAGTGGGAATAGTTTAACAATCAGGTTCACCAAGTTCATGATCTTTGCACTGACCAAGATGACTCACTTTGGCAGCTTTAGGGAATCAGAAGAGAGAGAGAAATGTGTTCTCCTATTTCTTGAAGAATGGGAACAGAGCACTGAGCAGGTGTTGAAATGGGGGCATATTACAGGGCAGGTGAATCAGTCAGACTTCCCTGTAAGGAGTGAAATACATTGGAGTCTGCCAAACCCCATCCCCTGAGGCTGCGTGAATGTAATGCGAATACCAGGGTTCTTTCCCACACCAACAGCGACTGCCAACGTGCATGCTTTCCTTTCTCTCTTCTGTCTCTATTTTTAAATGGCACTCACGTTACATAAATCCCAAGTCTTACATGCAAAGTAACAGATGGGAAGCATTGATGGCTCATGACAGCACATCAACATTAAGATGGAATTAAATCCATGCAACTCATTATATTGTATTTCCTGCTTTAAAGAAAAAAAAAAGAGAGAAGAAAAGAAAGAATCATTAGAAGAGTATATATTTTTGGTTTAAAATCCTTTAGGGAGCCCACAGTGATGAACAGGGAAAATCGTTAACCGTTTATTTAGCACATAACTACAGTGTGCATTTCACATCGAAATATGGGGTAAATCTAGCAAACAATGAGACTTTAAGAATTAACACACCAAGACGTCTATGTCCAGGAAATCTTATTTCCAGAAAATTGTTTCATACTTGCAATAAAAATGCTGTCAGTGTTCAGAAGGCACTTCCTGGAATACCTTCAGAGGGAGTTCGCAAATCACATAAGGAATCTGAGGTCACTATTTCATAATTACTCCCCGTTTTAACCAAAAATAATCACCCCTTTTTCTTCTAGCTGACCTGATTCTGAAGGACTCCTGGCTATGTTGCTATCTTTTCAAATCCCCTCCCAAAGGATGATTTAGGGTCGCTGTGGAGGATATTCTAAAGAACATCCCACACACCTTGAAAGCAATTGAAATAGGAGTTCCAGATCCATTTCAAGTAAAATTTGTAAAGACTCTTCAAAGGGAAGCACTTGTCAAGTAAGAGTCTTAAACTCTGGTGAATTTGCTTAAAAAAAAAAAAAAAAGCATCGACTCTTACTATTTTTTTTAATTTATTTCATTTCACTTTCTTAGTAACCAATTTGTAAAGGCAATCAAATGTCATTTTGCAGGGACAAGCTCACGTCGGGAGCGTTCTGTATCCTGACCGCTGTGAGGCGGGGGGAGATCTGAGGACAGTGGTCGGCTGAGCTGCCTTCTTTTGATTGAGGTCTTTGCCTTCATTCTCACTCAGTCTTTGATGACTGCTGCTGTTCCCAGGTGCTGCAAATGGAAAGTTAACTCGGGCAAGGGGCACGCAGCATTCGCCCACTTATTGGACACTCAATATGCTCAGTGTCATCTCATTTTAATGGTTTCCAAATTTATCTCAATGTGCTCCCTGGAAAAGCACATCTTTAGCACAATATACATTAGTCAGGCAACACAGATGTACATGCAGCCAACAGAAGCAGAGTGGATGGTAATTTTAACAAGGTGAGCTGTCATGGTTAGTTTATCCCCAGCTGGATTCCTGCATATCAGAAAAGCCTTGGATTTCAAGGTGACACCCGACACCACGAACATGTATATTTTCTGTGACACTTTACCAAATTCTTGCCCGTATCCATGCTTACATGCTCTTTCTCATGCCTGACTCCTTATTGCTGTGTATTTCTGTTTAATTCTTTATTTCCAAATTATTATGTCTGCCAGAGGTTTGTCTCATTTTATTGGTCTTGGGATAAAATAAGATTTTGTAATCATTTGCCAGTTCTAGCATTGTATAATTAATCAATTCCTATGCTGATCTCTTTTAATTCCTCCCTTTTGTTGTCTGTAGGTTTCCCTTGTGGTTCTGTAGTTTCTTGACTTAAAATATTTGGCCCATTTATTTTTATGCTTTCTTGCTCAATGATGAGAGCTGATGAGAGCTGCCATCACTTTTTGTCTCAGCATAATTTTGTGCACATCATTTAACTTCTGATATGTTATTTCCTCCTCATCAATATTTCTTAATAGTACACTATTTTGATTTCCTTTAAGACCCAGCAATTGTTTGGGAGGCCATTCAAAATATTCCATGTGGTGTGGATTTTTTGTTTACCCTCTTATTAATTTCTTAACAGGCAGAGTGGACAGTGAGTGAGAGAGAGAGACAGAGAGAAAGGTCTTCCTTTGCCGTTGGTTTACCCTCCAATGGCCGCCGTGGCCAGCGTGCTGAGGCCGGTGCACCACGCTGATCCTAAGGCAGAAGCCAGGTGCTTCTCCTGGTCTCCCATGGGGTTCAGGGCCCAAGCACTTGGGCCATCCTCCACTGCACTCCCTGGCCACAGCAGAGAGCTGGCCTGGAAGAGGGGCAACCAGGACAGAATCCGGTGCCCCGACCGGGACTAGAACCCAGTGTGCCGGCACTGCTAGGCGGAGGATTAGCCTATCAAGCCGTGGTGCCGGCCTCTTATTAATTTCTTACTATATTTTAATAATGGCCAGAGAAAGTAGCCAGTATGCTTTCTTATTCTTTAACTTGTAGATGGTCTCCTTGTGGACAGGTATTTGATTAATTTGTATAAGTGGTAATAAGAAACGCTCATGCAGTGCTTACTGTGTGATAGGCAATATTTTAAATGCTTTATATGTATTAATTCACTAAGTCCTGACAATAGTTCTTTTTCATAGATAAGGACATGAAAGCATAAAGGTTTTAAACAAGTGATTTGTCCAAAGTTTCCTACCCTATATGTAGCAGAACTGACACCTAAACCCACTGAGTTTGGCTGTAGGTCCACAATCTTATCATAAAATGGTAAATGCTACAACACTACTCAAACATTTTTTTCTCTCCAAGTCTGATATTTTTTAAGAATTTTTTCTGAAGACCATTATTGGTGGGGAACCTCTTTTCTGCCAAGGACCATTTGGATACTCTTATCATCATTCATGGGCAATACACAATTATCAACTTAAAAATTAGCCTGCTGTAGACTTATTAAATTTTGTGTCCCAGCTGCAGTTGCCTTGGCAGGGCCAGTCCAAAGGATTTCAGGGGCCTCACACAGCCTGCGGGCTGGAGGTTCCCCACCACTGAAACCCCTGTGCTGGTGGAGACATCCAGGCATCTGAATTGACAGATTAAGACGACCTCTCAAGGCCACTAATCGCATTTGTCTTCCACCTAACGTGATTTTTCAGGCAATTGCAGAAAAGTGTCCAAGCTGAGCAATAACTAAGGGTGATGGAGTTTCCATAGGCCCTCTAAAAAGTGAGGAAGCACGGGGTACCTGGAAGCGGAAGGAGTCGCTCTGGCCTGGGGCTCCAGAATGCCTGTACCATACTATGCCTTCGTTGATGTCTTGCTGGGTGAAGGTGCTGGTGGGGGTAGCTGTCCTCCCATCGGGTAGGTGCTGCCCTGTCTCAGCTGGGCTGTCTGCAGGCATGTTCACCAGGAGGACCACATCCCCTAGGAAAGCACAGGCCCATGGTTAGCCCAGGTCCCAGGGACACGGAAGTAAAAGAGCTCTTAGCTTCCTTTCCTAGCTCACTGCCCCTGCCAGACACACTCTTAAAAAAAAAAAAAAAAAACATTGAAAAGTAATGATGTACTTCTTTACTTTTATCTAAGGAAAAAGCAAATCAACACAGAACTCAATAAAATCACTGAATCCATCTTTAGACACAGAACTGCCAGTCTTTTTGCTCAATGAACTAAAAGTCATTCAAGGACAATTCACCTCTGAAGTTACTGACTTGTATTTATTAAAGTTACATTAAAAACCCACATCGTAGTGAACACGGTAAATACACACTCAGATACTGGACACTGAACAGATTCGTTTCTACCCATAACTTCCTAGGTAACAGAGAGCTTTTCAACCAAGGAGTTCATATGTAAACACAATGGAAAACCAGAAAAGAACATTCAATGAAATTCTTGGGAGAATTCTGCCCCATTTAAATGATAAGAGCTAACACTAGAAGACACAGGACAGACGTGGCGCTACGGTCAGTGCTTCCTGTGGTGTTAAACCCAGGTCTATCCCTCCCTGCTGCATCGCACTCCTTAAGACTCTGCTCCTCACTGGTAGCATGAGAATGACACAGGCTGGGAGTCGGGAATCTGAAAATCTGATATCACCTCTCCCCAGTGAACTGGCTCTTGGGAAAAGGCAAAACCAACAAGTGCTGGCAAGGATTGGGTGTTGGGGGGTGGGAAGGAAAGGCTGCCCACTGCTGCCCACTGCTGGTGAGAATGCAGATTATCGTAGTCATTGTGGAAAACAAGTGTGGTGCCCCCCACCCCCCATTTAAAAAGAGAACATCCACAGGATCCAGCAATCCCCCTCCTCCCCCACAAGGCTACAGTGTCCATATCCCAGGGAAACTTGCTGGATCACCACGGTTGTCACAGCACTACCCACAATAGTCAAGAAATGGAAACAACCTGTGCCCATCTGCTACAGAAAATGAGGTACGCACACATGATGGGATACTACTCGGCCATAAAAGGGATGAGATCTTAGGCCGGCGCCGCAGCTCGCTAGGCTAATCATCCGCCTTGCGGCGCCAGCACCCCGGGTTCTAGTCCCGGTCGGGGCGCCGGATTCTGTCCTGGTTGCCCCTCTTCCTGTCCAGCTCCCTGCTGTGGCCTGGGAGTGCAGTGGAGGATGGCCCAAGTACTTGGGCCCTGCACCCCATGGGAGACCAGGAGAGGCGCCTGGCTCCTGCCATCGGATCAGCGCGGTGTGCTGGCCGCAGCGCGCAGGCTGCAGCGGCCATTGGAGGGTGAACCAATGGCAAAAGGAAGACCTTTCTCTCTGACTCTCTCTCTCACTGTCCACTCTGCCTGAAAAAAAAAAAAAAAAGATGCTACTCAGAATGCCATCATCCCCAATGGATTGACTGGGTCTGAGTCCCAGCTCCACTCCCAAACGAAGCTTCCTGCTAATGTGCACCCTGAGAGGCAGCAGGTCATGGCTTAAGTATGTGGGTCCCTGCCACCCACGTGGGAGACCCAAATTTCATTCTCAGCTCCCAGCTTCGGCCTGGGTCAGCCCACGCTTTTGTGGCCATCTAGGGAGTGAACCAGCAGATGGGAAAGCACTCTTATGTATTCTCTCTCTCTCTCTCTCCTCCTTCTCCTCCTCCTCCTCCTCCCTCTGTCCCTCCCTTTCATATAAATGAAATAAAAAATGTTTTCTCAAAAAAGCCCTATAAGGTAGGATACCTCCTATAAGGTAGGATATGGGCTATTTTCACCAGAAAGAAATGTTAAATTTCCTTTGAGGAGACAGACTTAGTTACTGGATATACATAATGTATACATGCATCTAAACATCACATAGTAACTCACAAATGTAATTTTATGTCTGTTAAACATTTTTTACTTAAAGAAAGAAAATGCACCCATAATAAATCTGAAAGAAGCCACTCTACTTGTCTGGTAATGAGAAGGATAGAAGACACACACATACACAGACTGTTTATATTGTATCTATTTTTAAAATGTTCTATAGGAGGAAATCCAGATTTTAAAACTGTAGACAATTGGCAATTGATAGTGCATTTTGATTACCACAAAGAAATTTGTTCCCTGTCTCAAAGCAAGCACTCATTCTAATATTTATATGCACTAAATTCAAGTTTAAAATGAGCCTAACAACATGGATGGAAACGAAATGCTGAAATGAGAGAGAAACATCACTACTCTTATTCATACAATCATGTATAGAATCAACTCATTCTAGCTTTCTTTCTTGTATTATTTTTCATATGTACTCAAGTCAAAAATTCTATTATGAATCTCTCACGGTTCAAATTCTGTTCATAACATGCTCTTACTAGACACAGCTTCCCAGGATGTAGACTGTGTGTGAGTGTGAGTACAGTTGCAAAATATTCTGAAAGGCAATTTCCACAACAAAAATGCAGAGAATAGAAAGATAGAAAATCCTCAAATACTGATTTCCTTGTTATTCTGCTATACAGTAGAAAAGTAAGGAAGAATTTTCCTAACATGGCCTAATGAAATAAATCCATCTGTCAATAAAAATTACTTTTCATATTATATAGATTAATATAGGATAAGAGTAATTTCCACTAATTTCAACTCAAATAGTCACTGAGTATTGGTCAGGTGGTAGTTTTGGTGCAAAGATCTTCAGGGCTAGAAGTATTCAAAGATAAGCAAGATGCAGTTCCTACTCCTGTAAGTCAGCTTCACAAACAACCAGGAGGCTCCATGAGATTTTCTGCTGGTGAATGGCATGAACTGATTTACAACAGGTAACATGCATGACCAGAATACAGAAGCCTATAAGGCTTGAAAGTCTTACTAACGAGGCTGGACTTCATTCTATAAAAATGGCAATAACAGTAGCTAACGTTTATGTTGATAGTTGGGCCAATTAAGAGGCTACTACAAAATCCAGAGGAGAGATGGAGACCTGGGTGAGGGCAATAGAGGCAAGAGTGGGAAGAAATAACCACATTCGAATGTCTGAGGAAATGCACACACACTGGCACCTCACCAATACAATTGCAGAGGTGAGAGGGGAAGGGTTCAAGGAGAATCACCCATTAGGTTGGGTGACGGAATGCCACTGACAGGCTTAATACAGAAAGATGAGCAGGCGGCAGGTGAGACAAAGCTCAGTCCTGGATGTGTTGACTGTAGGTGCCTAGGTGATAAAGCCATGAGTAGAAAAGGAGAAATACCAGGATTTTGTGGGGTTCATTGCAGAGAAGTGGGAGATAACCCTTTGTGTAGTGTCTCACCTCTGCTTTTATCGTAACATGACTGCAAGGAGATGTTACTCTACATATTTGAAAATCTAGGTTTCCAAACCAGAAAGTTATCTCCATTTAGGATTTCCTTAATACTGAGTCTGTATTTTAACCAAGAATTTTGAAGAGAAGATTTCACAGCTATTAAGAATTGGAATCTCATTTGAATCTCCATGGATTACTTTGGGATTGGGATAATTTGTTATCAATGCTTTCTTAAATGAGGCTAAGTAGTTGAGGGTTGGGGCCATGTGTTAAAGTTGGATTCTCCCTCAAATAATACTGAAGTTACTTCATTAAAACCATCTCACTGAATTTACTTTCAGAGCTGTGAAATATCGAAGAGTACAATAATTAATCAACTTGTCTAAACTTATATTTGGCAACAGCAGTGAGTCTGCAAGTAGTTGAACTTAGATCCTTGATGCACATTCTATACAAGCAATTCACATTTGTTTCTGCTCCAAGGTCAATTGTTCATAAAAATCCTAAAGCCCAAGCTGCATGTTCTAAAGTGATGAGCAAGTGCCTTGTAGCCAGGGCTCCACAAAGCCACCTCATCGGGATAGATGGATGTAAGTCAATTTGTGTTAAGTGGGCTTCTAGTTCCCACCACTGTTTCACTCTTGAATAATTCCTAAGGGCAACTTAATTGGATTATTCCTAATAGGGAGCTCAGGGTACACAGAAGATTATATTCACAGGAAGAAGTTAATTAAGTGAGTTCTAGCAGGAAAGGGTCACAATAAAGCCCATACAGCATTTATCAAGCTAAAAAAGGCAAACTTTTATCTGCATAAAAACCATTTAATTCAGCATTGTTCTGTTTAATACTTAATGGAACACTGGGCTATTTCTAAGAAATTTGGAGACTTAACTTTTTGGTTGTTAATGATCAAGGTAAAGGCAGAAAAATGCGTACATCAAAAGAATCATAGATTTTTAGAGATGAAAAGGACTTAAAATTATCTGGCTTAAAATCAGTAGTTGAAAGCATGATGAGAACAGGGTATTTTTAAAAATGCAAAATCACAACTTTACAGGGGAGCAATCTGGCAGACACCACTCCAACCAAAGTTAACATCACCAGTAATAAATATGATGACAGCACGTGTCTCCTGATATGATGCACTGAGAAAGGGGAAAAGATCTACCGTTAATCTAATAATGAGAAATATGAGTTGAACGAGATTCTGCAACTAACTGAGCAGTAGTCTTCAAGAGTATCAAGGTCACAAAAGTCAAAGACAGAGTAACTGCCTGCCACACATTCGAGGAGACCCAAGACACCTGAAAATTAAATGCACATTGGGAACCTTAATTGCGTTAGAAAAGTGCATTGGTGAGAAAACTGTCAAAATTTGAATAAAGTCTATGGATTAATTAACAGTATCAAGTCAATGTTACTGTCATGGCTTAAATAATTATTATACGATCATGTAATATGTCATAATAGGGAAAGACTGGTGCCAGCATTGTAGCATAGTAGGTAAAGTCGCCACCTGCAATGCTGGCGTCCTATACAGGAGCTAGTTTGTGTCCCTGATGCATCGCTTCCAATCCAGCTCCCTGCTAATGGCTTGGGAAAAGCAATGGAAGATGGCATAAGTGTCTGGGCCCTTGCCACCCAGGTAGGAGACCAAAATAAACTCCTTTCTTCCACATGGCCCAGCCCTGGCTGTTGAGGCCATCTGGGGAGTGAACCAGCAGATGGAAGATCTCTCTCTCTCTCTCTCTCCCCCTACCTTCACCACCACCACCCCCCCCACCCCCCCACCCCCGCTTTGTAACTCTGGCATTCATTCAAATAAATAAATCTTGAAAAACAACAGGAAAAGGAATACATGCATTCAAGAACTCTTTGGACTATTTTTGTAACCTTTAAATCTAAAAGTACTGAAAGTGAAAAGTTAAAAAAATTATCTACCCTCACTTCTCAGAGACACCTATGGTCCACAGAGGTACACCTGCCTTCCTCAAGACGACAACATTGTGGTGAACAACTACTCAACTAGAACAAAACTGTAAGGTCAACTCTTCATTAGATGATGCTCTTTAAGGTCTTTGTGGACATTAAAATTATTTTTAAATTATCTATAGTTATTTTTTCCTTCACTACAGAAAATATATAATATTAAAAATCTGATAGCCTACGGGAAAAACTGATTAGTCTGCCTGTGCTGCTTAATGTGATATGCGTGTTTTCACTTTCAATGAATATAATTTTCATTTTTAGATGACCAACTTATTTTTAAAAACTTACCCATTATTTTAATAGCACTTGGCTATTTCCTTGCAGTTTCAATTCCTTCTTTTCTATCTTGAAATCACTATAAATATGCTTACTTCATACTTTTTCTAAGATTGATTCTTTTATTTGAGATTTTTGGAGTTTTAATCTTATTTATTTTGGCTACAGTACTACAGATTGTTTCTTAATACATTCTGTAATGTAAATTCTTAACCTTCAGTGGCTTTGTTTTTGACAGTTCTGAATGGCCTCACTGAGAGACGGCTTCTACAGAAGCGTCTACAAACTTCTGCAAAGAACTCAACAAGCATCACTGGCCTCAGATTAACTTCATACAATGTCTTAGCTCTGGGTTTCTCCGAGCAGGTGCACATCGTAATTTAACTCCAGATCTGTAGGAGACATACACGTGAGCCTCTGAATTCTAAGACTGTTGTGTCCATTCTGAATGCTGAGAAAGGCAGGTTTCTTTACCATCTCTCTGTGCCAGTGAGCTTCTTTGTGCTCTGTTCTGTGCCTCTAACTGAGGAGATGTCTTTCCAGAGTCCTGGCTTTAGGCTGGGTCTTCGTATCAGCTCCCCATCAGAGCATGGGCATGACAGCCCAAGCCCTCAGATGATGGAGACACGCTTGGCCCCACTTGAGGAAGATGCCCCAGGAGCTCTGCACAGACTGGCTGTTGAGTCCTGCTGTCACTGGCGATTTTTTCACTGTTCTAGGGAGGTCAGCTGTGGATACCTTATCATTCTTTGTGTGTGTGTTTGGGGGTGGTAAGGATAAAGACAGCTAGCTAGCTAGATTTAATGATTTATTTATGTGAAAGTTAGAGTTACAGACAAAGAGGGAGAGGTCTTCCAACCACTGGTTCCCTCCCCAAATAACCACAACAACCAGGGATGGGCCAAGGCAAAGCTAAAAGCCAGGAACTCCATCCCAGTCTCCCACTTGGGCACAGGGGCCCAAGCACTTGGGTGATCTCCCACAGCCCTCCCAGGTGCATTAGCAAAGAACAGGATCAGAAGTCGGAACTCAAAGCATATGGGATGCTGGTGTCATGGGCAACAGCTTAACCAGCAGGGCCACAACACTGGCCTCACCTTATCAATCTTGCTTTATTTTACCCAGCATTTGTAGATGATGAGAGTGGGACATTTCTCAGAATATTAGTGATACTCCACCATCTTGCTGGAAGGAAAGTAACAATGTAGAATGCTCAAAATGTTTTTATATAAATTTTTAATGTCTCATTAAGAAAGAAATCAGATGATGTTCTGAAAAGGATACAAGTGGAGTTTGAGAGACTGACACATGACATTAAACTGCTATTTATTAGCAGGCTGCTTTACCCCAGTTTTCTTTACCTGCAAATTGAAATTGTTTTGAGATGTAAATTTTAGGAGGTTTATAATGGAATACTATTCAGCAATGAAAAAGAATGAAACCTGATCGTTTGTGTATCATGGATGACTAGAAGGACATTATGCTAACTAAAATAATTCAGAGACAGCAAAACATGCCATATGGTCTCACTCCTTTGTGCAAGCTAGAAAAGTTGATTTCACAGAAACAGAGAGTGGAATGGCAGTCACTAGACACTAGGAAGGCTAGGGGTGGGGGTAGAGGGAGACGAGAGACATGAATAGGTACTTAATACAATTAGATAGGAGGAATGAGTATTAGGGTCCTACAGCAGGGTCAGGTATCTACTGTTTACAGCATTTTATTATGTATCCTATAAAGAACTAGAATAGAGGAGCTTAATGGTTCCCAACACAAAGAAATGACAAACTGTTAAGGAGACAGAAATGCTAATCACCCTGATTTAATCATTATATAATATATATATATATATACATAGAAAATTATCAAATTAGCACATTGTACTCCATAATACATATAATTTTTTAAAAGGTATTTATTTGAAAGTCATCTGTGTATGTGTATATGTGTATATATGAGAGAGGGAGAGAGACAGAGAGAGGAGAGAGGTCTTTGATTTGCTGGAGTACTCCCAAGATGACCACAAAGGCCACGGCTGGGCTAGGCCAAAGCCAAGAGTTGGGAGCTTCATCTTGGTCTCCCACATGAGTAGCAGGGGTCCAAGGACTTGGGCCATCTTCTTCTACTTTTCTCAGGACATTAGCAGGGAGCAGTATTGGAAGTAGAGCAGCTGGGATTGAACCAGCTCCCATAGGAGATGGTGGAGTCTTAGGGGGTGGCTTTACCCTCTATGCCACAGCATTGGCCCAATAATATATATAATTTTAGGTGTTATGAATAATGTCTTCATGAAACTTAGTATACTACCTGGCCACTGTGTGCAGTGTGATAGCTATCATGATTATGCTGTTTTTAGGGCAATGTATGAAGTATTAGAAAGTTCTGGGGCTAGCGTTGTGATAGGGCAGGTGAAGCTGTGGCCTGTGATGCCAGCATCCCATGCTAGAGCACCAGTTTGAGTCCCGGCTGCTCTACTTCCGATCCAGCTCCCTGCTAACGTACCTGGGAAAGCAGCAGAAGATGGCCTAAGTGCTTGGGCCCCTGCCACCCACATGGGAGTCCTGGATGAACTTCCTGGCTCTTGGCTTCAGTCTGGCTCAGCCCTGGCTGTTGTGGCCATTGGGGAGTAAACCAGGGAATGAAACATCTCTCTCTCTCTCTCTTCCTGTCTCATCCTTTCTCTGTAACTCTGCCTTTCAAATAAATAAATAAATCTTTTTAAAAAAACCAGGAAGCAGGAAGTTCAGCTCACTGAAATCACAAATCTTTCTGCATGGCACTGCACAATAGCCAATCCTAGACTGCTGAAAACAACAATAAAATCAGGCCACAGGGGGGAAAAAAAGAGTTACCAAAGTGAGGGTCATCCTCTGCAATCCTGTAGATGATTTCTTCAGCGCTGGCCCCCGCAGCTTCGGCCTGCAGAATTCTGCTGGTAATCTGCAGCATCCCCCCTTCCGACACCCACACCATGGCGTTGGCCACGAGCCGCAGACCTCCGTCATCCTAGAAGAAGGAAAAAGCCAAGAACTGGGTCTGAGCAAAATCAAACATCAGTTCTTTAAAAAAAAAAAAAATCAAAGTTATCAGTTTCTATTGTGGCTGGCAATCATCTAATAGGAAAGAGAGATTCACAGCATAGAGTCCCTGCCGCAGTATATGTGTGGACACATGCATTTGCATATATGTTTACAAGTAATTTGCCACCAATTATGTCAGTCTCGAAGATTAAGTCTCTCCATGTTGTTCTTGCACTTGTCCATCCACCTGTCCTCCTATCTACTCCATGCCTGCACATTCCAGAATCATCTATTTTAAGCACCTCTTATATGCCAGCTCCATTGCTAGAGGTGTGATACACACACACAAACATCTGCAATCAGACCTCAGGTTCGCAGATTACAGTCTACTGGGGGAGACACATGTGTAGGTGACCAGGATGCCTCCCAAGCATGGCCCAGGGTGGAGCTCACAATGGTTGTGGAGCAGCTGTTATGGAAGTCCACAGGCAGGCCTTTCAGAATATTTATGTTAATTACAAGGTCATGGAGATGCCTCTAAATTACTTATGTACAGCACATATGAAACAAATGATACTTAATGTCTACAGGCAAGAGTATACTTCTTGGACATCAACTGTAAGAAGCATGAGCAAGGAACTGCGGGAGAAGAGCGGAAGTCTCAGGGAGCTTTTCCCAAGGAAATATCATTTCATCCCACGTGACAACAAAATAGGCTTTCTAAGTAGGGAAGTGGTAAAGCAAATTCCAGAGGGCTCAGCTTAAGCAAAGGAAAAGGAATGAGAAAATGCCCTGTGTGTTTAATTAAATGTCCAAGTTTGGGTGTGCAAAGAGGGTAGGGGTGGTGGTGTAAGAAGTGACAGGCAGAACCAGGCTGAAAGTCTCAACCTGTCCTCCAGGGGCTGGAAAGTAACCAAGATGAGCAGAGCTAGGTTTCAGAACAGACTCTAAGGGCAAGAGAGGAGGTGACGAGACTGAAACACGCCTGGCGCTGTCAAACCACTTAACAGGTTCTTGTAATGACTCTGGGGAGAGAAGAAGACGAGGGCTGACGAGGGCAATTGTAGAGGGAGTGCAGAGGCAGACGGCAGAAACACAGTGGCAGCAGCTCGGACAGGCCTCGGCTGCTGATGGAAAGTGAGGCAGCAACAGCTGGGAGTAGCTGGCTGGAAGAACCCACCTACCTAGCGCTCCTCGGAGCAGTCCTACAGCTAATGTGGTTATAAAGGGGCTGCCATCTCTGACCTACAAGGTGCATGCCCTCTTCCAAAGTCTCCTAATATACACCCCCTCCCAATGAGATCAGTGAGGCTGCTAGTGCTCAGTTTCCATATTTAAGTAAAAAAAAAAAATCAGGGGGCTGGTGCTACGGCGTAGTGGTAAAGCCGCCATCCACAGGGCTGGCATCCCATATGGATGCCAGTTTGAGTCTCAGCTGCTCCACTTCCGATCCAGCTCCCTGCTAATGCACCTGTGAAAGCTGCCTGAGATAGTCCAAATGCTTGGCATCTGTACCTATGTGGGAGACTGGGAAGAAGCTCCTGGCTTCGGATGGGCCCCACCCTGGCCATTGTGGCTATTTGGGGAGTGAACCAGCAAATGGGAGACCTTGCTCTCTGTCTCTTCCTCTCTCTCTCTGTAACTCTGCCCTCCCTCCCTCCCTCCCTCCCTTCCTTCCTTCCTTCCTTCCTTCTTTCTTTCTGACAGGCAGAGTGGACAGTGAGAGAGAGAGACAGAGAGAAAGGTCTTCCCTTGCTGTTGGTTCACCCTCCAATGGCCGCCGCGGCCAGCGCGCTGCGGCTGGCGCACCGCGCCGATCCGATGGCAGGAGCCAGGTGCTTCTCCTGGTCTCCCATGGGGTGCAGGGCCCAAGCACTTGGGCCATCCTCCACTGCCTTCCCAGGCCACAGCAGAGAGCTGGCCTGGAAGAGGGGCAACAGGGACAGAATTCGGCGCCCTGACTGGGACCAGAACCTGGTGTGCCGGCGCTGCAAGGCGGAGGATTAGCCTATTGAGCCGCAGTGCCGGCCAACTCTGCCTTTCAAATAAATAAATAAATGTTAAAAATATCAGTGAATCTTGATATTTCAAAATATGGCATTTCAGAAGAGGCAGCTTTGTAAATTATTGTTATGACTTTCAAAATTGCCAGTAAACAGAACAGAGCAAACAGCCCTCCCAGGAGGGGGGTATTCAGAAGAGAATATGACAACTATTCTTTGGCAATCACTTGGCATTTGAGGACCTTCCCACTCTGAAGGCATCCATAGCTAATTTTACCACAGATACCAGGAAACTTAGTCAAATGGTACCCAGGAGACTGGCAGCAAAAGTGCTTTCTATTCCTACTGGTGCTCAGGGGAAAAACCCCAGAGAACTGTCTCCCTTCACCAACGATGGGGCATATGACTTACACAAACATCAAGGATGCACCCAAAATGTTGCCCCAAACCCACCAGAATTCTGAGAGGAAAGGCTCTAATTCCAGCAGATGATAGACCTGCGGGCGGGCCCAGGCTAGAATAAGAATGTGTCCTAATCTGTTAGGCAGAGTGGACAGTGAGAGAGACAGACAGAGAGAAAGGTCTTCCTTTGCCGTTGGTTCACTCTCCAATGGCTGCCGCATCATGCTGATCCGAAGGCAGGAGCCAGGTGCTTCTCCTGGTCTCCCATGGGGTGCAGGGCCCAGGCACTTGGGCCATCCTCCGCTGCACTCCCTGGCCACAGCAGAGAGCTGGCCTGGAAGAGGAGCAACTGGGACAGAATCCGGCGCCCCGACCAGGACTAGAACCCGCAGGCAGAGGATTAGCCTAGTGAGCCACGGCGCCAGCCCCAGGCCGAGGCTTCTTACTGCCTAGGAATCTTTGGCAGCTGCATAGTCCACTTTGATTTTGGTTACAGAAATCAGTCTTAGGCCAACAGCCATAATATCTGACTAAATAGACAAACGTGGTTTTCCATAGTCCAAGCAAGCAATTAAGCACCATGGCCTGCATGCACCCTCCTAGAGAGCTGTCCCACGACAGCTCTGTCTTCACCATACAACCAAGACCAAGCCCTCCAACTCTTGTGTGAATGCTACGTTCTATGAGACAGGGCACCTTGCACATCAATGCCCAGAAACCAGCATTGCCTGGAAGCTCATTGAGAAGTTCGGAATCTCAGGCCCCACCCCTGACACTGACCAGAAACTTCTGGATCAGAACCCGCATTTGAGAAGCTTTTCCAGGAGACGCGAGGGCATGCTGAAGAATGTTGAGCATGGCCCGGGTGGAGCTCACAGTGGTTGTGGAGCAGCTCTTGTGGAAGTCCCAGGTGGCCTTTCAGAATATTTATGCTAATTACAAGGTCATGGAGATGCCTCTAAATTACTTATGCACAGCACGTATGAAACAAATGATACTTAATGTCTAAGGGCAAGAGTATAATTCTGGGACATCAACTGGATGACAGGAGGTTCCAGCTCTCAAGCATCCACAGAAGCAGTAATTTTAACAACCACAGATGACAAAATCTTCCTGGGAGACCAGAAGTACAGACAAAAGGTTCCAGCATCTTGGTAGAACAACAACAACAGCAAATCCATACACAGGTGCACTGCACTGGAGAGGCTAGGAAGAAGAGTTTCTCTTTTCCTGTATCACCCTCTCCCAAGACAACACGGCTCAGAATATGAGAGACTGTTTTGGACTTTAAATTCTCCTCCAGGGGAAAGTGAGAGGAAAATGCTTCACCCAGATTCCTCAGCCTTGAGGGACCCTGGCCAAGAAACCAACTTTTATCTCAACTCACCCAGAACGTGGGGAGGATTGGCCTGACAGAACAGCCCGGAACTGACAGGAGCAGAGCCAGGGGGTTCAAAGCAACCACATTGCAGATTCCTAGAAACAGCTACAAATCCTACTAACTGGCCTATGTTCACTGCCAAGAGCCCCGCCCATGGAACCCATAAGACATCTCACTTGCAGACTTGCTAACTGACTAAAAAGAAAACCTAGCACCCCACACGCCACCCCCCTACCCACACATCTACAGCCGATATCCATAGTCCTCCTCTGCAGACAGTGTGCACGAGTCCCTGAAGACAGGTGCACAGACAGCAAACAGCTGCCTTGACTGCTAGACTGGAAGACGGCACACAATCTTGAACCCCTCAGAACACTGCCATAAGGGAAGTAAACAAAGAGTCTCCACACTGGTACCAGCTTGGCTTTGCAGGATCAAGAGATTGCATATAGTCCTCAGAGTGTCCCAGAGAGAGAACAAGAGAAGTGGGCATGGCCAGAGGGAAGATCGTCAAAGAAATAATAACAGAAAACTTTCCAAATTTGGGGAGGAAAATCTATACGATTCTTGAGACCCAAAGACTCCAAATAGGTTAAAGAGGGCTTCACCAAAACTCAAGGTAATCAAATTTCCCAAAATCAACAACAGGATCTTGACAGCAGCAAGAGAACAGTGACCTGTCACATACAAGGGCGACTATCAGTGTATTGATGACTCAGCAGAAAGCTGTGGCCCAGAAGAATGGGATACTACTGAAATGCTTAAGGAAAAGACTGCCAAGCAAGAACAATTTGCTCGCTTGCAAAGCTGTTATCAGCAATGGATGAAAGAGAAAGACTTTCTCAAATACAAGCTAACAGAGTGTAGCCCTACTAGTTCTATCTCACAAAAACAAATGCTAACTGGTGTTTTTCAAGTTGAAACAAAAGGATGCTAATTAGCAACATGAAAACACAGGACAGCATAAAACTCACTGGTTACAGTAAGTACTGTCAGCCTTCCGTGTTCATGGGTTCCACATGTGTGGATTCAACCAATCACTGATCTAAAATATTTATAAAAACAATATGTCTATACCGAATATGAACAGGACTATCCAATACAGTGGAACAACAACTTACTTTGGATTACACTGTACTAGGTATTATCAGTCATCTAGGGATTATTTAAAGTATACTCGAGGATGTGCATAGGTTGCAT